CTTTCCCCTTCCAGTGATGTGTGCTCAGGGTCTGCAGGCCAAAGACAAGACTGGGTCCAGCGATCCGTACGTAACCGTTCAAGTGGGTAAAACAAAGAAGAGGACAAAAACAATTTTTGGGAATCTGAACCCTGTATGGGAAGAGAAGTTTTACTTGTAAGTGCTTTTGCGAGGACTCTTAGCCTCATTTTGCCTGTTTGTATGATCTGTGCCTTAACAACTGTGTCTTCTCTGTCAGTAGGCATTCCCACGCCACCTGTAATGTATGATGGCTTTATTTCCACTCAGTATTGTGTGTGTGCATCTGGAGGGTTGATGTCTTTGACAGTGCACATAGCGCACACCTCTTCATCTCATCTGTCTTACTTGTTTGTGTATAAATTGTCTGCTCTGTGAACTCTGAGAAGGAAAATCTTTATCTCAGGGACTTTTGTTCCTGGCTAATAGACATACTTGCAAAATTCTTTGTAATATAGAAGACTAAAGTTTGTATAAGCAAACTTCCTGAGACCTGTTGTTGTGACCTGCTACTGGTGTTTGACCAACAAAGTTTAGAGGTAGTTAGTTGTCTGTCACTTTTCTGTGACACTACCAGTCTCCTCTCTTAAATCTGGAAAATCAATGGAACAGTAACTCGAGGGATTATCTGCTTTCAAGATGAGCAGTGGATCTGTGTCTGAATTGAAAGCAAAGGCTGGAGGCAGAATTCTTTAGATATCAACTACTCTCAGAAGGCGGAAGAATGTATTATTCCATCCTGCTTTTATTGAATAAGTAAACAGTACCCTCAATTTATCATTGAACATGTTATAAAACAAAATGAAGACATGAAATCCAGCAAGAAAATTGTTTTCTGAAGGTTCTGGATGGTCTCGTTCAACCTCAAACATCTATATTTCCTTTAATGTGTAAGCTCTTCCTTTGTCCTTTCCCTCCCTTTCCTTTTTTTTTTCTCCCCTGTTTTTTCCTAAACTGCTTGGAGGGAGCTCTCTCTGCAAACTGAAATCTGTTTGTGTTTTAAAATCAGGCTTATATCAGCCCAGCTTTTTCTTTACAATGCACAGCACAAACAAAATTATTTTTAAAGTAGTTTTAGCTACTCATTAACGTCAGAAGAATCTTGGCGCTATTTTGAGCGAGTAAGCCCTTGGCTTTATTCTTAGTTTAATCCAAGGTAACATTACTGCTTGATAAGTAGTAAGTATGCTTAGGTGCCATTTGGATAACTCTAGTCACAATAGCAGTAGGTCTGTGTGGGAGCCTTAAGGACCTTGGTTTACCATGCCAAATAGTTACCATGGTATTTGCAGTGTGTTCCCTCCTAATTTTAGGAGCTTCAACAAATACTATGTTTAAAGATAGATAGCACAACGTGATAAATTTCACAGTTTTAACAGTGCTACCGTTTAAATTTTATCGCCATGTCTGTGATTCAGCAGATAGTGTGCTGCTGGGCATTGCAGTTGATGCTACTTTCTGTATTGCCTGTGTTTAGGTGGTTGTTTTAATCGCCTTGTAATAGCAGGAGGAGATGAAGGAAATGAGCACAGTGTCCAGATCGAAGGCAGGAGAGCATTCAGCACTGGAATCAATGTGTCGTTTCGTTAGTAGATGTCAAACCCTCCGTTACGCTGGATGAGGAGAGAGACACTTAAAAGTGTACGCAGCGCTGATCTTTGCGCACCCGTCTTCCTTTTTCGCATGTACAGATCTTTTTCCAGCTTAAAACGTTTAAAGTTTATGAAATTTTCTACTCCATAATCAAATGGAAATTTAAGTAAACGTATGCAGGCCAAAAATACCCATTACATGTGAAGTTTCTGAGAAGAGATTGTCAGGACAGTCAAGACGTTGTCAAATTTAAAGGGCTAGGGGGTGATGTTCGTTTCTTAGAATGCAGTTAATTTGTTACAGTGGTAGAAAGGTGTGCTGGTAGGTGGTGAAATCCTACCTTGCAGTAGAGATATGAAAAATTTGATGCTCAAAATGTTTAAACATTTCATTGAGTGCAAGCTATGTGAGTAGAGAAAGGTCAGGTCAGTAACTAATATGTGGGTCAGCAATTGCTGTTCCTTTTCAGCTTGGTTTGTTGGACAGACTTGTTTGTGGCTGGTGTTCATTAGGAGCCCAATGTCCTTTATATCGTCACAATTCCAGTGTTTTTTAAAGGTTGGATACAGAGCCAGAAATCTGTGTGTATCAGTCATTATAATTATAGTGTTGGTATTGTAATCCATGGCATGAATTGAGGCAGACTATGTGCAGCTGAGTGATACAATTCTTTCTACAGACTCTCTAAAGTTTATTAAAGGCAACTTAAACAAGTTTTAAAATGTTTAAGGCTGCAGTTACCTGTTTGAAATAGTTTTTCTGTGCTTATTTACAGTGATGGATGGAAAAGTATATTAAGTTAAATAACTCTCCTTATAACTTTGTTCCTTTCTCTATATATTTTCAGAAAAAAAAAGGTTGTTAGATGTGACTCAGTTTGGGAGTACAGATTTAGAACCATATTTTAGAAGAGACAATGTTGGAAGCACTTCAGGTTTCCATTATCAGTGCTATTTAGGTCACTACTAGGCTATGTAACTGTAATTATTAGATTAATGACCAGTTCTTGGAGCATATTCATGTTATCTGAGCAAGTGACAGCAGGTCATGTTTCTTTCTGCAAATTACCTCTCTGTATATTTACATCTTTAGCTCTAGATAACATGTTGTAATAAAGAGATTTTTGTATCTTTCATTGGAGTTTGAAGACCTATGAAAATATAAGGAGTTGATCTTTCTGCTCAGTGCAAAGTTTTGCAGGCTTGATGTAAAAAACTCTACATATATGGTGGTTGGCAGGAAGAAGCTTGATGGGGGATGCCAGCCATTGCTGCAATACAGAAATATTCTGTAGAAAGTGCAGGCTTCCTAGAATCCTTTTTGTAAAGGCTGAAGCTGAACATCCATTTGAACAGGTTACAGAGTCAGACTGTTTAGGAGAAAAAACTCAACCACAGAGTTTCCATTTTAAAGAGAGCTCCCTGGGCTCAGTTGGATGCTGCTGGTCTGTACCTTTTTTTCAGGAAGCACCCCAGTCTTTAATGACAATGACCACTGGAAGTTACTAGATTCAAATGAGACTTTGCTGTTTTCTTGGCCTAGGCACAAAATGATTAGTTTGTTTTACAGTAATAACCCTCTAGCTGTATTGTCTCAATACAGCTGTGTCTGAAGCCTTGAATGGTGGCTGTGAAATCGCTGCCTGGAACAGATTACATTGTCACTGAACAGTTTGCAAGAGGCATGTTTATTCCTCTTCACTGCAGAAGTGTAACTGAGTTAAAATAAATGCGGTACCTCCTGCTAGCAGATAATCAATATTTTACTAGGACGTGCAGAGCCCCACATGGTATACGCTCCTGTTAATCTTTTGGGAATGGTGGTATTGCATAGCTAACCACTGTGTTGTCACCCAAAAGCTTCTATTTGGTTCCTCAATTTTCCTTTCAGCTGCTGAGCCTGTTATCAAGCTCAGCATCTTTCAGTTATCTCTGTGGTTATATGCGACTGTTCCAGAGCTGTTTTTAAGACTTCCCCTTCTGAGACCACTGTGTTTATAAATGTCACTGTAACTCCGCACCCTCAGCCTCCCTTCACTGCATAGCAGGGACCATTCAGTTTGTCTTGCTTGCTTTATTCTCCAGGTACTGCGGATACCAGAGCTGTCACTCTGATAAAATCCTGCTTGTTTCCCTGCTCAGTTACCAATGTGGAACTTAAACTTGAAGGCAGAGTTGGTGGCTTTGACAAGCACCCGTTGGGAAGCTGAGTTAATGTAGCTGAGGATGTAGCGCTCAGAATCACTTTATCTGCTCTTTGTAGTTAGGAGAGCCGCACCATTAATTTGTCAGTCGTTGTTGTAGCATTGTGTAACAGTAAAATGCTCGCACTTGTTCCCCGAAGAAAAGAGCTTCATACTAGTAAGAACAGAAAACTCATTTCTTTGTTCTTAGACAGCAACAGCTGGATCTCAGGGCAGATTATTGTGCTGTTGCACTTAACTTCTCAGCTGCTACAGATTTTAGCTTTATTCTCTTAGTACTCTGATTTTTGCCTTTGGTGTCTTCTCCGCTGTCCTTTTTTTCTCTCTAATAGAGGAGATTTGGCATCGTTTAGAAATTAATCTGTCCTGAGAAGTTTTCTGCCTTCCATTCTCATTGAGGTTGAACACAGCAGAGCTGCCAGTTGAACCCTGCTGTGTCAAGACACTTAATTTGAACCACATCCAAATCTTCCTGTTTTTTCAGCCAGACCATTTCCCATAGACAAGTTTTTTCCACTCCCTCTGTGTTTGTTGTTACAGCTCTTTACTGAGCTTTCTCATACTGCTTGCTACAACTACTCCTTTCTGATTTTCCAGAAAATCACTTTGCCTTTTTTTGAAGCTTTGCTCCTCAGAAGCAGAACTTCCCTCCTAAAATGATCACGGTTCCTAAAGTCTTGCTGATCTCTTCACTCCTGTGCATTTTCTCACCTCTTGCACTCTCGTCCATTATTTCTGCAATCAGCTCTGCACTTTTTACCTGTCTCTGCCATGGCATGAAATGTCCTCTGCCCTGGACTGTGAAACTTTACAGGTCCTTGAGACCAGTATCTCCTGTGGTGCAGAAGGGAAACTGCTCACAGAATACGGCCATCTAGATATTCACTAGACTCTTGGAACCGTAAATATTTTTTAATGTCAAAACACAACAAAACTACTTAATTCTGGGCTTCACTGATCTGCTTTTAAATCTGCAAAATATTGTTGCTGCCTGTGCTCCCTCACTTCCATTGCTTGTACTTGCTAGGTCTAGTTCTTTCTTTTGTGTCAGTATTTGCCTGTTCACTCTTCAAGACAGGGGCTATCTCCCTCTCTGGGAGCTGCCAAGCACAGTGAAGTCCTGGCTGCATTTGGGGCCTCTGGGCTCTCCTGTTATGCAGGCAGAAAATAGAAGAAAACAATATAATTTAAGGAAACATGTTTATGTGAAATTGGCATGTGAGGTGATAAGGTCCTGTTGGCATCCCACCTCTCTAATCTGCACATTTTGAGATGCACAGTCTAGCATTAGTGGAATGAAGCTGAGGGCCTGGTGCATCCTGCAGGGTTAACGTGCTGGTAACACCTTTCTTGAGATGAGAAATTGTTTGGAAAGACATGTCCATGCAGATGTGGTACAAATGGACCTTCGCCCTGATGGTTATTTACCAGACTCTGTTTTCGTGGGTGTAGGATCACCAACATGAGCTAACAGTGCCAGACTATAGGTTTTCAGTTTGGCACTCTCCATGCTTTAAGCTTATGATCTTTACTGTGAATAAAGATAATTTCATGAACTGCTGGACACATGGTATTATAGGCATACCTTTGTATCTCTTATGGCAGAACTGCTGCAAACTCTCAGTGTTGCCACAACTTTACAAGGCTTATGACTTTGGCTTTGGCGTTCCTGTGGAGGTTAAGTAACAGTCCTGCAAATGTTGTTAGCACAAGCAGCAAAAGATTAGCAAATTCAGCACAAATGTCATTGGTTTCTTTGTTTCAGAGTATGAATCACTGTCTCAAAAGTGGTGTTCTGGTCGTTTTTGGACACTTGTCCTTTTTCTTTCTCTCCACTTTTTGGAGGAGACTAGGCACATGCAATACTCTGTCCTAGACTTCTGACACCATCTGAGCCAATTTGAGCCAACCTTTACAGATGGGCAGAGGTTTTGGAGCTAAGAATCACTTTTTACAATTTTTCTGCAGAAGTTGGAGCTAGATTAGAAGGATACAAATTGCTAACTTCATTGTGGGAGGCACTATAGTGTAAATTCAGCAGTTGCCTCTTCTGTTTAGCCACCAATACAGCAATTAGCGTGTGTGTGGGCATGCCACTGTGTGTGCAGACCAGAATTAACTACAGCTTAATGTGCTCATGTGCTTCCCCTCAGCCCAGTTGCTGGCTGGGCATGGGAAAAGGCCGGAGTATGGACAGTGCAGGGGACCTGTGTGGGGAGCTGTTGGTTCGGAGTTGGGTGAGGCTGAAGGAAAACATGGCAGAAGAGATGGGTGTAAAGAGTGGGTAGAAAGCAAGTCCGCAGAAGCAGGCTCAACTGCCTGCATTGCTCCTGCAACCTCTGGCTTCAGGCAGAAAAAAATAATGCAAAAAAATGGATTTATTTTATTTAAATTTTTCTTAAAGATTTAGTGTGCTATTACTTGAAAATTTTACTTTATTCAGTAGGTTGAAGTGTAAAACTAAGTTCTTTATAAAAATGACACCGCTGCAGACATCAGGACAATATGGGTATAAAAGAAAGAGGCTATTTCTGAGCCATGTACAAAGAGAACCTGGTTTCCAGTCTCTCGCACTCTGAAATGGACCTGAAAGCATTCAGTAGTTTCTTCCTTGCAAAGGGGTCACAGAGTATTTCTTCTTTCTGTTTTGTCTTGGGAAAGCTGTGGGAGCTCGGCTGTGGGAGACTGGACAGACGTATGTGAGCACACAGTGAAATCAAGCCTCACAAAATTGTAGCAAGAAGTGGGACAGGCATCTTTAGAAATGTGCCAGCTTCTGTGTTAATGAAGGAGAAAGTTTCTAGCAGCAGAGCTTGTTAGCCACAGTCTTATGGAGTCATGATGCTGTCAAATTGGAAGCTATTTCTTGTTAGTTAGAAAGCCTGTTATCAGCCAGCAATCCCAGGTTCTCCAGTATTCACGGTTTTGTTTTGGAGTGCTCTCTGGAAGTTGAACTGGTGTTGACACAACTGTTTTGCTTCGCCAAAGCAAGGACTGCAGTTCCTATAGACTTAGATGGTGATGTTTTGCAGGTAAGCCACCAGCCCAAGGCTTTCAGCTGCTGTGAGTGAGTGATAAAGCTCACTTTCTGGCATGGGAGCAGCATAAAGAATACGAATTGAGCAATCTCTTAAAAACAACATAGAAAAGTGCAGTAAAATAGGAGCCTCAGTAAATGCGACTGTAAAGCTTCCTGTGGCACTTAACATAGAGTTATGCTGCTGTAGCCAAGTGAAGGATGATAGCCCGCCATTCCAGGAGCGTGGGATGATGCTTGTGGAACCGCCTCAGGTAGATTTAGGTCTAAACAGTGAATATTTTCCTAAAGGAGGAAGCTTCTGACTATTGGTAGCAAAGAAACAGGGTCAAAATGGTCCTAGCAAAGAACTGGCATGCCAGATGGTGAGGTCTGAAGTCAGGAGCTATCTTGCTGGTGCTTTGTAAATGACACTCTGTGCAAGTCTGTGTTTTTAGGCAGCCTTGCACTTCCGAGCCTCTACGGTACTGTTAGGATGCACATTATTGCACTGTGTCAGGAACAGAGCATTTCTTTTACATGCTTATGCTGTGTTGCTGGTAGATAAGGCAGCACACTCGGATAAATTTGAGAGCTATGGAGAGCAGCATCCCAAGCATTCCCTGCTTGTCAACACTTGCTGCATGGTTTTGTTAAAGGAAAACATCCTTGAAGTTGAGGAGGAGGAAGGGGAGAATAGAGACAGGAGAGAAACATTGAGCCTTCTTTCTTCTGTACTCTAAATACAGCTTTGATTGCACAGCAGAGGCAGGGAGCAGCGATGTTGCTTGCCTGTGATCAGAATTGCATGGAATTGTCTCTAACTTTCTCCGTACAATTCCCAGCTGCTCCTCTGTACTGGAATATTCCATAGGAGCTGCATGGACGTCTGTCAGGCAGCCTCAAATCACAGTTGTGGCAATAGGAGCCCAAATGATTTCTTGGTAGAGAGCATGCAAATACCAGTCACTGCCACATCTTATTGACCGGGCTTAGCACATCTCTTCTGACCCATTTCTTCCTTCTCCCTGTTGCTTAGCAACAGATGCAGCATGTTAATGTTAAAAAGGCTGGAAAACAGGCCTTCAGCAGAAGTTGCCTGTTTTCATAGGCTTTATTTTCTTGAGGGCAGACATTTGTAGTGGTTATGGTGAGTGATCATCCTTGTCATGGTCTCATATGAGCATTCAAATTGCTTTATTGTATTGCATGCCCTGTAAATGAGCAGGACTCTTATTATAAGGTTCTTCTACCCACTTCTGACATCCAGAAGCCTGTTTGGTTCTACAAAAGGTATCTGAACACCTAAAAAAAGGGGAGGCTACAAATTATGGCTGTGCATTAAGCTGGAGGGTGCCAATTCAGCAGACAGTAAACTGCTTTTTTTTAATGGAAATGTCTTCACTGATCTTCCTGGAGCACAAAGTATCAGTCTGAGCTGTGAATAATAAGCAGAATCAACTCTAGTAATTAAATACCAACTTTGTAACTACTGTATCTCTTTCCTCCCAGGCACAGGCAGCATATACATCATCTGATTGTATTGTATTGTACATTAATACACTACAAGGTATTAATTATTGTGACTGTCTTGAAGTAAGAGAGCTACCTCCACCTCAGCTATTTATCTTTTATTAGAAAACAGCGTGTAGGGTGTTTGTCATATGCCTTGACTGTGCTATGATACTGCACTTGCATAAACACAGGTAGCCTTTAATGCCTACAGCTGAACAAAAGATCATTAATGGGGGGAGCTATCAGAAAACAGTGAGAAGCCTGTCAGCGTTTTTGGAGTGTGAATGGTGAGTTCACCGGCCCAGCTATCACCGGTCTTTCGTGAGCTTCACAGCCAAAGCAACAAGAGTGAAGAGAATTCCCAAGTTTGGGGAGCTGCTGCTGAGAGTGAGACTGAGCAGGAGTCATGGCCACTTTGCAAATCTGAAGTTGGTGGCTGCAGTCAGGACAGACCTGTTCAACACATATCCAAAGTACAGTATCTGCCACATTAGAGGAGCATTTAGAGCGCACCAAAAAGTTCTTGTGGTGTTCCTGTCAGAAGCTTCACTTTTAAGTAAATAGGTGTTTGTTTACGTTTTGTTTATGCATCCCTGTACTATTGGTAAGTGGGTCAAGAGGAATGTGAAGTGTGCAGCATATAAATGTCGGCTGCATTATGTGCTCTTCAACGTTACTTTTGTCTTTCTTTGCAGTGAGTGCCACAATTCTTCTGACCGGATCAAGGTGCGAGTGTGGGATGAAGATGACGACATCAAGTCTCGTGTCAAGCAGAGACTGAAACGCGAGTCGGATGATTTCCTGGGGCAAACCATCATTGAAGTCCGTACTCTGAGCGGAGAAATGGATGTGTGGTACAACCTGGGTGAGCAGGGCTTTGGGACTGAAAACACGTCATGTGTTTGGGAATGTTTGAGAGCGCTTAGGTGTATCTGGACACTTAGAAAGGAATTTAAAAAAACCATTATTTCAAGGGGCATATGATGATGCTGCAGAGCAGCTATGTGGCTTTGGTCCCAATTAAAATGAAGAGGAGCATAACATGTTGAAAGGGTGTTGGATTTTCCCTCTCAGGCATTGGAAGGTACAATGAGCAAAATGCTTGGAGCAGGGTTGGATTCCACCAGTGCTGGAGACATGTGTCTGTCTTGTGCTCTTTTTTGCGCCAACTCAAGTATTTTACCAGTCTTTAAGACCTTCGACTGCACTGCAGTGGGATAGGGAGTTGCTGAGGCCTTTTCTCAGTGACCGGAATAGAGCATTGTAGTAAGTACTGGCAAGTAACCAGATGGTGCTGTATTGACAGACATAGTAATAATCCTAGGAGGCCCAAAATCATCTTGATAGGGAAAACCAGCAGTTCCCAGCTCGGGCCTCTGGTGAAGTCAGAGGCAAATTCCACATTCTCAGAAAAAGGGCTCTGCCCTGGGTGATTCTAATTCAGCTGTCTGAATCCAGGACCCTGTAGCACATTTGCTGTCAGAAAGGCTGTTTTACATCTATTAATGTACATAATTATAGCTAGATGTGTCATATTGAGGGAGTATTGTGGCAGTTGTTTTGCTGATGTCTACTTAGTATTCAATGTGTTGAAAAAAGTTAGGAAGTTTTCTCCATGGTGACTCTGATCACAAGCTCAACCCGAGCTTCCAGCAGTTTCCTTTCTAGTGTTGTCACTTGAAGATGGCTCTGCTCTCAACACGAATGGTGCATAACAGCTGATGATTTTTCTTTACAGAAAAGCGAACAGATAAGTCTGCAGTGTCCGGAGCTATTCGCCTGCAAATCAGTGTAGAGATCAAAGGCGAGGAGAAGGTGGCTCCATATCATATCCAGTACACTTGCCTTCATGAGGTAAGAAGCGGATTCAGCTCAGTCATCACCGTCTTCCTTGTGTCTATTGAAGAATCATTTTTCTTACTTTTATTTCCTTGAAATGTTCCTCCTTGCCCTAGATGAGGTTTCTTTTCCTTGTTGTGCAGGCCTGGAAATGTGCTGAATCATCAGGCCCATGTAGCTCAGGAAGTCAAAGAAGGCTTTAGGCTGTCTCCCCCCTGCTGGTAGCTGGCTAGTTCGGTCTGTGCCAGTGTCACTGCTGAAAGGCATTGGTCCTACTCAGAGCCCTCCATGAGTTTAACATGGAGAAACCTCTGAATTTCCTTGGGTAGTATTTTCAGCATGTACTGTACCTATGTCTGTCTTTAGAGAAGGAATGCTGAAATGCTTCATGAGCAAGTTCTGATCTGAGGAAGGCTTTGACTCTGGCTGTTTAGGGATGCAAATACTGGTGGTATAAATTCTTCTGTGCTGCTGCGCTGGTGTGTAGCTATGAAAACTGCTTGGGAACATAAGATAAACTGCGGTTACTGGGTACTGACCTGACTCGGAATGGACTGAGCTGGGCAGGCAGTGCTGCAGAAGTTGGGAGAGGCCCAAAGATGACTTGTGAGAAAGACTGAAGCAAAAACCCTGTCTTGAAGGGTTGCATGGTGCCCAGTCTGTCTGTCAAAGAGAAGGCAGGAGGCAGGGTCATTCTCTAAGTGTCCCCATAAGGGAGAGTAGTCAGAGCCCCTTTCACCTGACATACAAGAATATTAGGAGGTCCAGTAAGGTTTAAGCAAATTCAGATTGGAAAAGAAGGACAGGTGTATCACAGAGAGGAGTGATCAGCTGTGGGAACAATATATGTATCCAGAAGCTGGGCTGGATAAGCCCTGTGCTATCTTCTGGCCTTACCGAGGAATAGGCAGATAACGAAGCTTAGAAAAACATCAGTAGACTTCTTTTAGCAGGCTGTGTTCAATACACATTTATTGGTTTTTTAAATTCAGCGGTGGCTTCTGTTTGGTAAGCTGTTCCATTTTTTCCTTCTGAACATGCATGATCACTTGCTGCCCTTCTTTTTTGCACGTATGTCTCTTTTTAAGTATCACCTTCTTTCATTTGTGTATCATAAAATGGAGATGATTTACAGGTAGAACAATTTAGTCAGGAAAAGTAATAGTGTAAAACAGAGTCCTCTAGCTCCTAATGAGATCATTAGGCTTTTACGTCCCTTACTACAGGGAGCCAGCTGTCTGAAAGGCTGATTAATCTGTAAGTGACGTGAATTTCAGGATTACTGAGAAACCCACTGAACTGAATGTGCAATTGCTGCGCAGCAATGACAGCTGAAAACCTTTGCAGTGTTAGATAAAGTGAAAGGTTATGTTAAAGAATAATGCAAAAGTCTGGTTGTTAGGATCTTAAGGATGACCTTTTCAGAAAAAAAAGATCTGTTTGGACTGTTCTACTGTAGAATAGTTACAAAGACGACACAGAGCTGTTACGTCAGCTGGCTTAAATAGCTTGTCCATGTTAAGGCATTTCATTGCGAGGACAGAAATGTGTAGGTTTCAGGAAACTCATTAGTCTGTGGTTTCGCTGCATTGAAGCACTCCTCTGCATCATTCACAATGTCTGCTGGGTAAAGGTGTAGGAATGCACAGGAAAAATTCAGCTAGGAGCACTAAAGAAGAAAAGAAGGTAAAAGCAGAAAATACACAGTGGGGAGAGGGGAAAGAAGAGGGAGCAGAGCAAAGAAATTTGTGTCAGTGCCTTCTCAGCAATTCCAGGTTCTTTATGAAACTCGCTTAGAGGCCTCAGCAGCCTCACATGTAATTTCATTCCTGTTTTGTATTTCAGAACCTCTTTCACCATCTCACAGATGTGCAAGGGAATGGGGTAGTGAAGATCCCTGATGCCAAAGGAGATGATGCCTGGAAGGTGTATTTTGATGAGACAGCTCAAGAGATCGTGGATGAGTTTGCAATGCGTTACGGCATAGAATCAATATACCAGGCCATGACGTAAGAGGCATTTTGTGTGGTCTTTAGTGCAGATAATCAGCGTAACTGATTGATGTGACTGTTAATATTTAGAAGATGAAATGTGTTGGTAATGGAAGGCTTGGCAGTGGCAGCTGCTCCTTATGGGGTTTACTGTGAGCAGGAGGAGACAGCCTCTCTGTGAATCACTGGCTTCCTCAAAATTCGAGAAATTAATGTCTGACAAAGTGCTGGAATTAAGCATCTATCTAAGCAATTTGTGTGAACACCTTTCAAACTAATTCTAAGGAATTACACCAACTTTGGTGGTGTAAATGACCATATTTTATTACTGATAGTTGAGCCATTCCTGTTTTAAGACTCTCAAATCTCTATTTGAGTACTCTTCTAATAAAACGATACTGCCCAAAGATCCCACTGGAGATTTCTGATGGTGTGAGAAGGGATGAAGTTTTGTGAAAGTGTTTGTCCTACATGACTATTGTGGCAATTGATACAGTCCTTTGAAGTCTCTAATTTCCCAGGTGCTGCTGAAGGCATTTATAGGAAGTTTGAGTAATGGAGGCACTGATTTGTCCTCTGTGGAGCTAGGCTAATGCAGTTCTTGATCTTCAAAGAGCATTTTCCTTGTCACTATGCTTTCACTTGGATTTGGGATTAGCCATTCTTCCTCTTAAAGACTAGCAGCGCTATGCTTAGCTTATTGCTTATTTCAAATGTAATATTAAATATAGCAGACAAAAGTGACCTGTTTCATGTTAAAAGCTGAAAGTTTTTGGTCTGTGGGTCCTTGAATGAGTTATGATTTGTGCTTATGTCACCTTGCAAGCACCTTTTCTGCCTACTGATTTAAGCCAAAGAATTGGAAGGTACCCCTGGAGGTCTGGTCCCTGCTTTTATAGCAGGGCGAAGTTGGACCAGACTGCTCAGGGCATCTTTTAGTTTGTTGAAAACTTCCAAGGATGGAGATCTGTCACCTTTCTGGGCTCCTGTCCTCAGTCTGTGTTACTCTGAGGAAGCAATTCCTGGTTGAATTCCAAATTGAAAAATCCTACTTTGAGTTTCCCATGCTGTAACTGCTGCATGTTGCTGCTCATCTCTTAGCCTTCCCTCTGAAAGGATTTCAGCCTGGCTCAATCTTCTCACTAACTCTCACCTTTCTGCTAAGTAGTCAAGACACTGATTAGATCCTCACTCCTCGTGCCGCCTTCTTCAAGCTAAACAAAGCCATTTTATGTGTCAATTTACCAAGTCCCTAAATGACCAATTGGTCCATGGGTACCATGTAGCAAGCAAGTGAACATTCAGGCATCAGTATCACATTTGTCTGAAACACTGATTTGTGAATTCCTGTGAAATTCTCTCACTGGAGCTTTTTTGGTTTTATTCGTTTGTAGGTTAACTAGCGCAGAAGCTCAAGTCTGTGATGAGTTCCTGAGGGAGAAAGCTACATTTAGAAAATAGTTCACAAAATTAGTTTGGGAGCTCAATGAGGGTTCCTGCTTAAAAATGGCCCAACTCTCCTTTCTGTTGAAATGAACTTTACTTGCCATGTCCCATAATATCAGACCTCTTAAGCTCTGATTTCCCCCCCCCTTTATGTCTAACAGATTTTCTTTGATTGCTTAATCATTTCACAACCCCAGATGCTTCTGGCATAATTTTGAGATTTCCTGCAGGAGTGTTCCTTGCACTTTAATGAGAGTGGTTAAATGGGAAAATGTAAATGAGCGTGCACCCTTCCTGTGGGCTGCAAGGGTTAGCCCTAAGGAGTCACATATCAGCGCAGCACAGAAACACTAGCATGTGATCTCACTGTGCTTGAATGCTTTCCAATTGCTGCTGCCTCGTGTCACCTCAGAACCTGTGGCTGCCTCAAGCGGCAGCAAATTATATAGATTTCCTTGTGTCAGACTTGGTTCTAGGAACTGGCAGCAGGACCCAGGGTACCACCCGAGTCACAAGCTCTTGGCAATAGTTGAGAAGCTGTTTTGTGGTCTGGAAAGGGCTGTAGTGAAGGGATTTCTTCTGTTTCGAGTTGTCTAGACAACATCTTTCTGAAAAAGCTCTGGGATGCTGGAGATTTAGAGAAAGGGAGGAAACATAACTTTTATCTGTTCATGGTGCCAGCCAGAGTAAGGGGGCGATTAAAGGGACAGAGTCAACTTGTGCTACACAAAAGAGACCAGAATGACTTACAGAACTGTCCTTTTGCAGGCATTTTGCATGTCTCTCCTCTAAATACATGTGCCCAGGCGTGCCAGCTGTGATGAGCACCTTACTTGCCAATATCAATGCTTATTATGCACACACCACTGCCTCTACAAATGTGTCTGCTTCGGACCGCTTTGCAGCCTCCAACTTTGGGGTATGTCTTTGTGTTCGGTGATGTTACAATTGGACTTCTGAAATTTGCCTACGGTGCTGCTGCCTTTCAATAAATAACTTGTTCTGTTCAGGGAACATTAAATCTGTGAGGAGCTGGAAGCTGTGGAGCTCTTCTAAACTAGATAAAGAGCATGGTTTTATTGTCGTCATCACCACACAGTTTAGATATTAATCAGTGTAATGCATTGTGATGTTTATTCTTTGTGTTCAAATTAGACTGGAGCACAGATGGTATGGAATGAGCAAATAATATTAAACTCTGTGTGGTGATGCTGTTGATAAAATATACCATGCGATCTGATCGTTTCAGAACTTTGTTTTTAAAAACAGCAACTGCTTTAAGAAAAATAAAAAAGGGTCTATCCTCCTAATGGTTAAAATGTTTTTCATGTAACATATGGTGGAGTTGAGTGTGTGCTGGAAAAGTGTTTGGAAAAGCTCGTGGTTCCCGTCAGACTGAGAATTTATACATTGAATGAGGAGGTGTTCACAATGCCAAATCAGAACGCAGTGGAGAGACCTGACCTTGAGAAGATAGTCATAAGAAGCCTGTAATACGTGTTACTGAACTAATAGATAAGATCTTGGAGCTGTGTCATTGTGCTGACTTAGACCCTTTCCTGCCTGTTCCTTTATTCATCTCTGAATAAATATTTTTCTCTTAAATATTAGTTTGGTGCAAATGGCAGACTAAAAATCAGAAAGCTTTTTGTTCTGCCTCTACTTCAGAGTGATAATGGAGTATTTTTCTGACAATTCTAATGTTACACACACTTCGGAAATTATTAGAGTATAAGGGTAAATCCAAGAATCAAAAGAAAATACCATGCATCCATATTGCTTTTTCCTGCGATCTGATACTATTTTCCCGACATTCTGCTGCTTACTCTGGACATCGATTGGACAGTGATGATACGTGATATTTACTGGTGTTTTCTGCTCGACAGAAAGAACGATTTGTGAAGCTTCTGGACCAGCTTCATAATTCACTTCGGATTGATCTCTCGATGTACAGGGTGAGTGGGAATAAACAGTATCCTGTCAGGTATTCTGGTGTGCAGAGGGGAAACACATCGTTTGGATTTCTCTTATGTTTTTAACCTTTTGGGTAGTTTGTGTCTTCTGGAATTGTCATGACAAGCTTGTTGCTCGAATGCACTGTTTTCTTTTCCTCGTGGATAGAACTTAAACCATGTTTTTTGCTTCCATTATAACTGCCTCAGGACTTGTGAAATGTTTTAAGGATTGTGGACTATGCTCATCTCTAATACTCTTCCAGAAATGCAAGTTGGATTGGATTAGTTCATTTGAGTTATTACTATCGGCTACTTCAGGTATCATCTACAAAGGGAAAACAGACTTGTTCTCTCCTAGTGAGACAGAAGTCATTTAGAGGACCTGCAGCCATGTTGTCTCTTATTTTAGGTTTGGCAAACTCAGATCACTGTCCCTGACTCTGGACCTACAAGATGTCCTCTCAAGTTGAGATTCCCTCCCACCTCATCATTTTGGGAAGAGATGAGTTTCATGTGTTGGCATCTGTCCACCAGGCTTCTTAAAGCCTCTGGGTTTTCTTTGCTACTGCGGAGTCATCATAGTCTTATCATGTGACTTGGCTGCCTTCTTTTTTAATTCCTTGCTAAATTACTTTAATTAGTGACTAATTAATTGAAAAATTTAAAAATGCTGGCAAAATGGGAGCTTTGATTTTATTAATTTATTTAAAAGTAGATCCTCTTCTGGTTAGTGCATTTATCTGAAACTGTGAGACATAGAGGAGGGAAGCATGAGCACACTAAGAGGAGATGTGCATTAGGAAGACAAACAAAAAGGACAAGGGGCAAGGTGCAAAAGAAGATAAAAGGGATGTTGTGTAAAGAGCTATGCTGTACTAAATTACTAGTAAGAGAAGGTCTAAACAGAGCACTGATCCCCACTGAGTAGCAGAGGGGAAATTATCAACACATGGCAATAAGAATCAGTAGTGGTGATGCCTTTTTTGTTTGCTTGGTCTTCAATAAAAGCTGCTTTCTGGTGGCTAATGCAGCTAAACCTTAGACAAACAAATAAGATCTTACATAAGGGACCAGGCAAGATTTGTGTGGTTTAAATAATTTAGATGTTATCTAATTGGCAGTATATTTAAAGAAATGGCTGAAGCAATTTGGAAGCTTAAGACCCCAGAATGGTAGGTTAAATTCTGGAAGAAAATTATGTAAGTTTCCAGCTTTCAAGACTGGAGATGGCATTTTACAACTTAAGTTACCCAGATTAGGCCTCCCCCTTCCCCTAATTTAATCAAGTTGTTTGTAAGCACTTAAAGCAATGAATAACCAACAGTGTGGATTTGTGAAAAAGAAAGGTTCAAACAGAGGTGTGTTCCTTGCAGGGCAGGGCAGCAGGTGAGGAGGGGACAGAAAATGGGAACAGGAGCCCTGTCAAGAGAAGTGCCAAGTTACCCTCGTGTAATTGTTTTGGGAAGTGTTTTGTGAGCAAGTGCACTTATTCTGTATGCATGTCACTTGTTCTTTTTGTTGCTTGGTCACTAGCTGACATAAGCATAGGAGATGTTGAATTTCAGTATATAGATAATGTTATCTTTTCCTGATTAGTATTCCTAATCAATAACTTGCTTTCGGTCTGCAATGTTCATCCAATGGTTTGTGTTTAAATCTTGACCCATTTAAGTATTTGATTTTGGTAAATACCCTGAGTGCCTGGGAGTCCATGTGTGGACAACTTATCTTTAAAAGGAAAGTTGTCTAGGAATGAACATCTACAAATTACTGTAAAGACCATTAAACTGCCTGCAGTGGTTAGCTAGTCTGCAGTAATACTCAATTGCTGTCAAGAGACAGTGTATTTTTCTGCAAGTCCTTGGTAATCCCTCCCTCTGCCCTTTTTACCTTTGTCTCTAATAATTGTTGAATGTGCAAATATGAAGAGACTACCCAAGTGAAGGTTGCCTTTGCTATCTTACTTGCAGCAAAACCAATCACATCAGCTTGAATGTAAGAGCATGCTGAGGAAAATGAACATTGTTAAAGGACACAGGAAGGAAAGAGGGGGAATGTAGGAAAGGGCACAGTGCCTGAGGTCAGAACGGGAGCAATTTCTTGCAAGAAGCAAAGCTTGCTGCATTCAGTATAGGTATTTACATGCTTATGTATACATACACATCATATCTGGAAGGAACGATAAGAATTCTAATTCCAGTGGAACTGTGAGAATGGAAGAGGAAGCTATGGCTACAGACTGCAGGGTGATGGGCAGAATATGTAAAATAAATGCATTAGAGCAAAGGAGGCACTGAAGGATACGTATTTTCTTGGCAAATGGAGTTTTACAGGGGACCAAGTGGCTACAATGACTTCTTACAGGGAGCAGTGCTCATTTTCCCTTCTGGGTCCAGTTTCTTTCTTTAGAGAGGTTGGTAATACACCACCCTTCTTGGTGTCTTAGAAGAGAAGCCAAAAATGAAGTGGAGAGTGCAGAAAGGAAAGGTCACACACAGGCAACCTCAAGCAAGAAGCCAGGGCTGCCAGTGGTGAGGCTCCTGGCTCTCTGCCTGCTCCTTCTACAGCCAAGGAGAGATCTCCTGCCGCTGAGGATTGTCAGTCTTCTGGCATCCACAAACTTTGCATTCATAAGAGAAGCTATTTAATTAAGCAAATAGATTAGCTCCTGCAGCAAAAAGGCCTTATTTATTGAGCATTGTTTTGACTGGTACAAGCTTCTCGAGCAGGAAATGTTTCCAAGACACTTTCCTTATTTAGCACATGCTTGAAGCCCTGCATGGATCCGACTGTGCTTTCCAACGGGATTTCCCTTTTTTGTCAACAGAATAACTTCCCAGCCAGCAGCCGCGAACGGCTGCAGGACCTGAAGTCTACAGTGGATTTGCTGACCAGCATCACTTTCTTCAGGATGAAGGTAGTGTTGAGCATGGAGATGGGAATGGAGCCTCTGCAGTTTTTGCCACAGGAGTTGGTTTCCCATTTTCAAACCATTGTTTCATGTCACTGTGCTTTAGACACTTAAGAAAAATGGAGATAATCTGCTGACCATGTAATAAACATCCACATTGTATCTTTAACTCACTATATTTGCATCATGAAGATGAAAGTTGTTTTGTCTCTGGGGTTCTTCAGTCACAAATATGGCACAAAATTAAAAAAAAAATAAAAAGGAAAAAAGAAAGGAAGATCATTTACATTTGTTAATAGCATTAGGCAGCTTTTCCTATAAAATTGTCTGCAACATTTATCAGTCACTACCATCTCTTCGCCATCTTTTATCTAGTAAATATTTTTATTTCTTGGAAGGTAAGATACTGAAAAGGGGTAGTATCTCTCGGTAGAGATCCAAGGGAGTTGTTACGAATACTAATGTGCTGGTTCTGTAGTTAAGTTTATTGTTCTAGCAGTGTGTAATGAGATTATTTTTAATTCCTGATTTTTGTTTCCAGTTTTTTAAAAGATATTGTTGTAGGTTAGCACATGCCACTTAGAAATTTTTTTATCTTATCAAAACCAAAGCAAGTCTTTAATATGAGCTATTTCAGGAAGTGCTTATGATTTTTCTCTTAAGCCCTCGGATAAATGATGTTTTAGAAGTATTGAAAGTGTTTTTTCAGACAATGTATCTGTATTGAAAGTTTGCTTTATAGAAATACTCTGAAAAGTTTAGAAGTAGTGACGATATCAAAATTGTCTCAGGTTACAGCTTTATTTGCAGGGTGATGCCCGCATATCTGTTTAGTTTAAAGTAGCTCTGCAGTGTTTTTCTAAAGCAGTGTAACACTGAACTAATGAAAAGAGCTGTTGTGGCAAGAGGAGAGGCGTATTGGTTGGCATGCCCTTAAGGACTCTGGTATGCTTTAAAATTCAGTGACTTTTGTGGTGAAAGATGGCCTTAATGAAAGCTTTTGTATTTAAAGGCATGTGAGTGTTTGGTCTTCAGCAAGACTTTCCAGATCAGATGTAATGTGCTCTGCTGGTCTTTTGCACGTTCTTCCAGTGTTGGAAAAGATTGCTCACTGGCTTCATAGCAAAATGCTATAGATTGAGCAGAAATCCTGTGTGCTTGGCTCAGATTATACATACATCAAGCCACATGATTTGTTTATTATGAAGACTCTTCCTTGACACTTCAAAATCTTTATGCTTCAAATGATCTGGTGGGGACATAAGTGTTGTCACTGCTGTTTTACACCTTGGGGAGAGCGTTCTGTTTGTGGTTTCAGGTCACCGATAGCACAAGTTGCTGAACGCAGATCCACCAAGTCCTGGGTAGTTCCCAAAACAGTGACTTGTTCTTTCCCTGTTTGATTTATGAACAGTGCTTTGTTTGACTGTGTTGTCTCCTTGTCAGGTCCAAGAGCTGCAGAGTCCTCCCCGAGCCAGCCAGGTAGTGAAGGACTGTGTAAAAGCCTGCCTCAACTCCACCTATGAGTACATTTTCAACAACTGTCACGAGCTGTACAGTCGCGAGTACCAGACAGACCCTGTGAGTAGCTGATAAGCGGGCAGAAATCCAAGTTTCTGATGTTCTTAAGATAATAACAAGAATGCTAATTGATATTAAAAAGCCAGCACAAACAAAATTATGTGACTTGTTATCTTCTGAATGTACAAAACTTGTAATCAATTCATGAGCATTAATTAGTATGCGAAGGATGATAATTGTTTTACACTAACTAATTACAATTCGTTTTGCCAGCCTCAGCTGTTTTATTTCATGAGCAGTTATTTGTGAAGGGAAGGTTTGATGTAGCTTGAGTGAGCAGAAGCCAATTAGAGCAAATATAGACTGATCAAGAAGGTTGTCTTTTGCATAGGTAAACCTCAAGCAGTGAAATTTCCTCTTGCTTTCAAGCACCCAGTGTCCTGCACTGGGCTGAGGAGGTACCTCCAAACGCAAACTGCTTTCAAATCCATGAGAGCTCTACTGGCCACTCTGCAGTAATGCAGACACAATTTATCAACATGAATATTGTCATCGATCCAGGTGCCTAAAAAGCAAGTATTAAGAAGAAGCTTTGAGCAGATGATGTCTCAGCAGGTCTCCTGGAGCCTGACCTGCTCTTGGCATGGTAAATGACAGAACAAGGATTATTTGGGTTTGAGGCCACCATTAAGCAACATTGTTTGGCGTGTTACTGTGTTTTGCATTAGATCATGCAAGTTGCCAGCAGACATTAATAATTTTATGGTGTTCAGAAGAAAGGGTCCACAGGTAATTAGCATTTGGAGTTTGTATGGTGATCTAAATTTGCCAGCTTTTTCTTTCCCCTTTAAATTTACACTGGTTTTCCAATGGCTTCCTTCCCAGAACAAAAATCAGGACCTTCCTCCTGAGGAACAGGGCCCCAGCATCAGGAACCTGGATTTCTGGCCCAAGCTCATCACTTTGATAGTTTCCATCATAGAAGAGGACAAGAACTCTTACACCCCAGTCCTGAATCAGTAAGAATCTTCCATGTCCTGTATGGCTAATGCTTGTGTCTGTGTGCTCTGCTTTATTTGTTAAACTGCTTTCTATCTTTTCTGTCGCTTGTGTATTTATAGAAGTACTTATTTTGTCTGTCTGTCTTTCTGTCTTATCTGTCTCTGTCTATATAAATAACTCTTTTTGATTGGGATCGAAGAGTTTCAAAAGGTTCAGTTACGATGCCGCTCGAGCACAAACACCCTGGTTATTACAATCCTGAACTCAGGGAGGCTCCTGAAAATGGGGTGAGAGTTCTTTTGGTTTTTTCTGATGTTGAGCAGTTCTGGGATGTGCTGTGGTGACAACACCTTTGACTGTGATTTAGGAATGTGGTGTTCAGCGCAGCACTGGGAGATTGCATTGGGTGGGTCAGCACAGCATTGGAAAGGAACCTGAAACCAGTCTGTTTAACCAGTGGGTGCTCCTCCAACAGTGCCACAGGGCAGGAGAGAGGAAGATATCTGACAAGGTATTACATACAAACACCGGGATTATGCCTTCGAGATCACTGATTTAACATGGCAGGGACACCTGATCAGTGCTTACCTGTAACCCTAGAAGAAAAAAAACCCAACCAAACAAAAATAAATATGGACAAGAAAGGGGAAGAAAGTGCAAGGGTATTGAGAGCACATTCCCAGAATTATTGTGTGCGTCTCCTCTAGGAGACACATCCAGGGCCTGGCTTTTTGAGTTAAAACCACTCTTCAACAGCAGTGTTGTTTTCAGGTTTTTCAAGCTATGCCACAGAGTCCAGTTGATCATTTTCAGTTTCCACCTGGTCATTTATCTAGGGTGAAGGAAGCATCTGCAATGTTGAGCTTTTCAGCTCATAGTTTAGTTCAGAGATGATTAAAGCCTTTGCTCTGATACATGCCAAAACCTTTCCGAAATGTCCCCTCAGGTTTCCTCAGGAGCTTGCTGTTGGGAAGATCAGTGCAGAGGTGATGTGGAGTCTTTTTGCCCAGGATATGAAATATGCCATGGAAGGTAAGAGAATTCCTCACTGCTGCCAGCTGGCTTGTTGCTGAGCTCTTGTTCTCCATCCATTTGGTGTAAATGAGGCTTAAGCACATTAGTGACACCACTGTTTGGAGCAGCGATTTCTAGTGGTTTGTTTGTGGACAGCTGCTCTGTAAGTGAGAATTGAGGCTGAGATCTACAGGAGCTCTAGACCTGTGTGTCATGCTGTGTTGCAAGCTGCTTATTGCCATCCAAGCTGGTTTGAAATCAGAACTCGCTTTGGCCTGAGGATAGAGTGGCTTAGATCAGCAGCAGCTGCCTCCTGCAATGTACAATGGTAGAAAGGGATGGAGAAGTAGGTGGACTCTGGGTTGTGCCATGGCTGTATTTCCCTGGATGATACAGCATAGATGTCTAAGCCGTTGGCATAAGCATGCTGTTAGAACAAATCGTGCTGCGGACACCTTCATTTTGGATAGTCTTTGCATAATTCCACCAGACTCCTAGTAAAGGAAAAAATTTACCCTTTCTGTAGATGATTTAGGCATGCAGAGCCCAGCAAAATCCCAGAAAGGAATTCTGCTGCTTGCGGTACTATTCTGGTGGTTGATTGCAGTTTCTGAACTTGGTTTCAGTTCTATGAATTCATTTGCGCAATGTTATCAGCTTCTTACAAGGTTCAAAGAGCATCCAGCTCCCAGCTCTGCAGCTGTGGTAGCAGTTGTTTTCTCAGTATTTCGCAGGGTCAGGCTTTATGATCATCTATAAGGAGATACCATGCTGAAACAGAAGTGCCACTGCTGCCTACCACATGCTAGCTGTATTGGTATTCCAAAACCAAGTCAAGTTTACTGCTTTTGGTCACTCACAAAATTATGTTCAACCCAGTTGCCCCCAGTTTGATCTCAGCTCACTTATAGGAGTCACAGCCTATTAAACTTACTTCAGACTGCTAGAAGAGAACTGCTGCCAGCTAAGAGGGTTTTTTGCGTTGTTCTTCAGGAACAGTCTGTAGGGTTGCTCTGTGAGTGGAGAAGATTGACTCCATCTATTTCTTTGTCAGCACAACAGGGGTAGAGACTGTGCTGTGAGGGAACACCCTTTTCCTCTCTAGGCTTGAATTCAGCGGGCTGCAGGTCTGGATGAAATGTTCTCATTTCTGTGTTAGGAACTTTTTATGTAAGCTTGTACCCCACCGTGCCTTTGTCTTGTGAGGTTGTGTTGATGTAAGAACAGACACTGGGAAGAAGGACTGACACCTACTAACTGTGCTGAAGAGTCTCTTTTACAGTGACTGTCACTACTTGCTGACACATTAGAAGTAAGGCAACTGTGATAACTTCATGTCCATTTTGTCCTTATTTACCCCTGTGTACTCACTCTCAGGAATTTATAATGCAGTTTGCTCCTCTACATGTTGAAAGTACCCTATCTTTCTCCTATCCCAGCAGTCATGAGAACTAGATCTAGTCTAGTCCTGTCTAGTTGCTGACTTTCCTAAGGTTCCCCTTCCCTGTTGCATCCAAAATGCAGCTGCAAAAAGCTTTCTGATTCTGTGTGTGAATTTGACTGTCAAAAGGGACATGATTAATTAATTTTTTTTTCCTCTTTTGCATGGCCAGTGCTGGGTTAACTTTGCCTCCCAGGTTTTTCCTGTTTACATCTCATACCATGTCCCCATTGATTCTGTCCTCCCTGGCGAAACTGGGCTTAATTTAGCTTTTCCTTACATCCTTCTGGTTACTTGTGGGCTTCTTAAGGATTGGCGTAACGTTTCCACCTGTGAGTTCATCAGTGCATAGCAAATACTTGCTGAAGAAGCATCCCTCTTCAAAGTATTTTCTGGTGAGAAAAGTTGACATAAAGGCAGCTGATGGACTGGGAAGGGTTTGCATTTTGAATGAAAGCTGAAAAACTGTGTGGTTCATCTATTTGTACTCTACCTGTGCAAGTCCTGCAGGAGGATTGAACAGTGATAGAGCGTATGTTGGTGTATGTCTCTTCCAAATATATATTCAAGAAATCCTCAGGGTGCAAAATTCTATTTGAGGCAAGTGTGATTCCTCACTGCTTCGCTCTCCAGAAACTTATGAAGATAACCTTTATAACGAGCTCTGCAATAATTCAATTACAGGCCTTGCTACATGTATTTTAAATACAGATGATTGGATTAGCTCACTGCATTTTTTTGAAATGAGGGGGAAAAAGGGATTAAAGAAAACAGATTAAGTGATGTGAAGGGTGATGATTAGATTTGCTGTCCCCAGCTCTCGGCTCTGTGATTTCTCAGTTTGAGTTGCTCATTTCTCTACCAGTTAACTACACCAGGGACTCTGTATTCCTGTCTTTGCCAGTTTGTGGAGTAATCTCTGGGTATGTTTCTGGTGTGCTATGAGATCTGTATGCATCAGGAGCTCTCTGCAACAAAAGCTAATCTGTTTTGCAGAGGTATGTGCACATGAACCCAGAGTATAATACTTGCTGCTAACTTTCTTCATGGTGTTTTCCCTTATGTTCTGTTCCTAAGTTCTGGATAACATGAGCTCATTCACCTCACCAAGTGGTAAGTTCATGCTCCTTAATAGAGTTTATCATTGTGAGTAGGCAAAGACTGTCATCTACCTCCTGTAGTTTTAGCACTTTGGATGTAGTTGCTAATATTAGCTTTAGTGTCCTGTAGTTTTATGCCAGTGATGACCAGATCTGCAAAGAAGATGTGGAAGATCATACTGCTGCTGCTGAAATGGAGAGTATGTTCTGCTTAGGAGACTCCTAACTAGCCACTCCAGTTGTTTTTGGATGGTACTTGATACGCTGAGCAGTTCTGGGTGAGAGCCTCTTTGCTGGGTCTCAGGCATTGAGCTGTAGATAACATCCAATGGAGAAAAACTGGTGAGGTGAGAGCTCTGGTTCATGTGTGGGTCTGTTCTATCCCTCCTGGCTGGGGTGGTGGCTGAGAGTCTCTGGCACTTTTACTCTTCAGTGATAGTAAATTTTCTTCAAGCTTAAAGGCCGTGCAGTGGCTTTGGTGTAGAGTGTGTTCGTCTGCTGGGAAGCAAGTGCACTGCAGAATTATCTTATGCCTTTGTCTCCCCTGAGGAGTCTCAGCTGCTGAGACACAGCAGAAGTTCCAGGATCAACTCCACTTGTTTTATTTCCTCTCTTCTCCAAAGCAGTGACAGCTCAGGGTGTTATGAACAGCAAACTGGGCCCTTCCCTCCTCCTTGGCAAAGGCAGTGCAGGACAAGGCTTTGAGAATTGCATAGAAATGTTATGTAGCACAGACTTGGCTGGCAAGATCATGCTGCCCTGGAGTCACTGTAGCATTGGGGATTATTTTTTCAAGTCACGCAGTTAGCTCCTTCTCTGGGATGCTGACCAGTGCTCAGCAGCTGGATAACCTCCTTGTGAGCCCTTTGGTAACTGGAGTTACTGGTTTTCTTCCTGTCCTCCGTGAAACCACTGTGACCCAGAAAGCACAAACTCTCCAAGCAAAGAGGGTTTCTGCTCATCCTTTACCAGGAAGACATTAAAAGACAGGAATAGAAAATCAATGTCATCCTTGACAGCAAGGGTTCATCTTATTTTGGATGCATCAGCATTAGGAGAGTTGTAAATTGGAAGCACCTTTAATAGGAAGAGAGACTGAGTAGACTTGGCGGGCAGGATTGAAATGAATCATTCTGCCACATTCTCACTTCTAATAAGGGGAGGGGGATCAGACACACACATAGATGTCAGCTGTCTAAAATGTTACTGCTTCAACAGTTTCCGTACCCATCAGAATTTCTTTGCAGAAATTCAGCATCATTTGCTAGAAATTAACTGATGGAAAGTAGGCCGATGATCAAGAAAAAAATCCACATATTAAGGATGTGGTGAAAGTCTGTCTGAAAAGCAGAACTGGACGTGGCACTAAAATGTGTGCTGCTAGGAAGCAGTTCCCTATTAATGTCTTAATAATGTGGCCTCAGTGACCCTAAAAGCTCTTCTTCTGTGGAGACTGTTTGCAGATGAAATCTGCTGAGGAAATGTGAGAGACTTACAGAACTCTGCGGTCTTTTCAGGATAAAACACAGCAGTTGCTGCAAAATATCTGTGCACTCTTCGGCTGTTGCTGCTGCTAAGCTCTTTAAAAGCCAGCAGGTTATAAAGCAGAACAGAAATGTGCTAAGACCGATGGCGCCCCTGCTTTTCACTTTACTTTTTTCTAAAATGGGTTTTCAAAGTGTACTTCTGGCTGATATGTTTCCACGTCACCTTCAAGTCCTCTTGAACTTTTCCCTTTACAAAGAAAGCAGCTGATCAAAACCATACAGGGCCCGTTGAAGGGGGGAAAGCAGATGGTACAAGCTGCTGGAGATGAGGGGGTTTTGGGGTTGGCTTTCTTTATCCTCCAGCATGTTTGAGCTGTTATAGATCACTTTTGTCTTTTCTCTGTCGCAAGCCCCACCTTTCTTTCGCATACGTAAAGTCCTTTTTTATGGTGGTAAGACTTCTCCTTCTTTCTTTTACTTTCCTGTAGTTTCATCCTCTTGGTGTCAAGCTTCTTTACTGCTTAGATGGCTAGGTAGTACTAGCAGCAGTCTCTGGGCTTATGCTTCTGTGACTGCTTTGCATGTCCTCTTCTGCAACTTAGCAGCATTTTAAATGTAGCAAAAAAAATAGGAAAAGGCTTTAATTACTTGCTTTTACTGCATGGCTTAATTTTGCGAGATAAATCTGATTTGAGTCCTTTTTACCTCCAAGTCAGTCCTTCCCTCTGCAGGATCAGCATTTTCCCCATGCGGGAGCAGCACCTGGGTGGCAGTGCATATCAGTGTTAATGAAGTTATAATTGTCCATTGATTTCCTCACTCTCACAGGGAGCTAAGCCGGCATGGTTATTGCTGTGTTTGTTTCTAGTTTTAGATCTGCAGAGAGCTTTGCATTTTCTTCTGTAGTTGTTGTTCTTGAGGGAAGTCAGCAGTTCAGACACTGAGTATACTCATACTTCCTTAAGGCTCAAGAAATATACTAGATTTAGTAATGTAAAGCATGAATGGGGAATTTACTTGGCTCTAATACAAGCAAATTCACTGTGGAGAGTCATGGGTCACAGTATATGTGAAGTAGTAGAACATGTAAAGTAGTCTGTTCATTGAATCGTCACCCCTGGGGAGTATGTCTCTCAGATATTGGGCATTTTAATTTCTTTAAAACAGAGGTTGGGTTCCTATTTTTTTTCAGATTGTGCCTGCATGGATCTGCTATATGTGAGTTAGAAAAAAAATCTCTATTACGTTGTTACCAAGGTTTATGAACAACTCACTGGGGTGTTTCCCTGCTTGGGAGTTGACAAGGCTTATGGAATAATTATGCGTGAAAATGTTCTTTAATTTTTTGAGTTTTCAATTGGATAATTCATAATTTATTTGGCCTTTTTGTGCATGTTGTGGAGGCTTCAAGAGAGATGTGGAAGTTTCTTAATGTTTTGAAATAGTTGCAAGAATTATATGAAAATACATGGTGATATTGTAAGATAAGCTTGTCTGTCAGGTAACTGATTAGAGAATTCATCATTTCAACCCATCTTCTGCTGATGAAGATCTGTAGCATGTATTGCTCACATATGCGTGTGTCTACCCAGTTATTGGATACTTATACTGAAGTCCTAGGTTAAAGCCACTCAAAGTTAAGAGAAAGACTTCCACGTTTTAACGTAGTTGGATCCTGTCTACTCCTGAGCAGTGATGCCCTTGGAAAGTTACGCCGATAGTGAGGTAACCACATAAAAGGTAGGAAAATGAGCCTGAAGTCAATTTTTTTTTGGGAAAAGTGAGTCTAAGCCAAAATCATATATGTTTTAGTTTCATATCTCACATTGTAGGCATTGTCTAGCAGCTTGCTGTGGTGCTGGAGTGAACAAAGTCTGGCACAAAGTGTATTCGTGCTGTTGAATGAACAGCGCAAAGCAAGAAAGAGATGGGTATGGACAGGCAACACTATGGACTGATAGTGCAGAATTGGGCAGCTGATAATTCAGGATCACAGTGCAGTCAGAAGCCAGCTGTTGAGTCCTCTTAGCATCATGAAGAAGGAAATAATTTTGTTCTTTTCAAGGAGGATTTTGAAGAAGAGCAGTGCAGTTGAAAGAGCTGCCTGTGTAAGCACATGAGAGGTGGCTTGGAAGAAAGTGTTGAGATGCTTTTGGGAAAACTTAAGTAGTTTAAAAAGAGGAATTGTGGGCTGATCAGTGGTGGGAGTCAACTGCTGAAAGATGGTAGTGTGGACGTAGGCTGTGAAGGCCTTGAGAACCAAGTTGTGAAGGATACGTTTCCTGTGAGAGAGAAAGAGGAGCAGTGGTCTAGGAGATGATCTCTGCAGAAACATAGGTCTGAGTATGGCAGGTATTTTAGCAGCATAGGTCAGGGTCGTGTTGTGGAGGTATGTGTTATACAGGGGGAAAGTGCATTGTCCCAACGTAGCCTGGGTACAGAAACATAACAAAACCTGGCAAGAAGAAGAGGCTCAGCAGCATGTAGATATCCATGGGTCACTTCAGTGGACTGTGCTCAGGAAAGCAATACAAATAAGAAAACTTCTGAGAGAAAAATGTCATTAATTTCTCCAAACTGCGAATCAGGGAAGGCTCCAGCTCCTATGTAGCTCATTTGAACTTGCTTGTGACTCACACTGTCAAACTCTAAAGAACTTGATGCTTTCTACTCTTGTCTCTTAGGGCATGTAGTGTAACATGTTGGTATTGCCTTTGTTTATACCCAAGAATGAACAGATTTGCTCTCCTTGATTTGTTTCCTGCAAAGATGAAATCTGGGCTGTCATATGTTAAATGGAAAGGCCGTAAGAGATTGCTCTATTCTTATTGCTTTGACAACCCAAAAGGTCTTTAACAAATGGAAGTACTAATTGGAGCTACAAAAATAAACTCTAGAGACCCAGTGGTCAATGACCACGAACCCCTGCCTGCTGCCAAAATCCCGTGTTGTGAAGATTTTGTAGCTCCATAGGTGCTTCATCCTCAAAATCATTGCATACTGCAGACATCCTTTATAAGATCCTCCTGTGCCTGATGCAGTGATAGTGGTAAATTCAGACCTAACTACATTTTTTTCCTTCCTTACAGAGCATGAGAAACACAGACTGTGTAAAAGTGCAGACTATATGAATTTACACTTCAAAGTGAAGTGGCTGTACAATGAATATGTTCGTGATCTGCCTGCCTTCAAGGGAAAAGTGCCTGAATATCCAGCGTGAGTGTGTTATGCCTCCTGTAATAAATCCCCACTATCTGTCTCCTTGTGTTACCTTGAAGGTAGTAATTTGGTTCTTCTCTGGCTGCCTTAATGATACACCGTTTCTTCAATCCTGATTTTCTCTGTTTATGTGCATGTTTGTTCCCTCTGGTTTTCTGTGCTACTGTCCCTGACACAATTCAATCCCTTATTGTCCTGTATCTCCCAAGATTTAAAAAGTTTTAGCAATATAATGGACAGTCTTTAAGCTGCTCTGTGCCTGCAGTGTGGGGTCTGGTCAATTACTGAACAGCAGACTTCTGGATGTATGCTTACATTCTTGTGTTAATAGATACAGCTTTATCTGTAGGTACTGTACGTATGCGTGTCTGTATGTATGTATGAATGTCTTAAGTATATACACGCACAACAGGGTTCGTAAGTGAAGATAATGTTTTCTCTTTTTTTAGTAAGACAATGTGATTTACTTGGACACATCAGTTAAACTCTTGCCCTTAAGCTCTAAGCAATTGTTCGTAACTTTTATTTACCTTTAAAGGAACAGAAATAGATTTCAGACCGGAAGAAGGTTTATGAGTCCAAAAAGTTGTATGAGCAGCCTAAAGAGAAGAGTGTAGCTGCAACCCCACACTTGGTCTAAGACAAGAGCAGATGTGTTGTTTCTGACCAGTGTTTAGCTGGTTTTCAGTGATTATTGTTCCACATCTTCTTCAAGCAGCTTTTTTCCCCTGTTACTGCTCCATTGGATTTTGGGGTTTAACACACTCCCCCTTTTCCCCCTCTAAAGCTTGTTACAGCTTCTGCTATCAGCCTGGGCATGGAGAACAAATTGTTCCTGTTTTAAAAGAGTATAAATGCTTTGCTTGTGTCCCTTCCCAGTCTTCTGCTGGTTCCTGTTTGTTCCCACCTTTCCTCGTCAGTGAGGTTTACTCACCACTCTCCTGCTGATCTGCGTCTGGACATACAACACCCAGACTTTAATACTGATGTTTCATTACTGCCCTGGCAGAGGGGTTGGACTGGATGATTTTTTGAGGTCCCTTCCAACTCCTGACATTCTGTGATTCTGTGATTTATCTAGACCTTGCTTTGCATAGCCTTGCAAGCAGTGCTGCTGCTCTCACTGATGGGTTGATAGTAGCAGCCTTTGGTTTTTTTCTCCCTTTCTTCAGTGGTGTTGCTGACTAGGGATGCTTTCAGTGGGCCACAGGCCAGCCCCTAGGCACCCTCAACAGTGTCCTACCTAGTTGTCCTCCCCATCCATTACTGCTGTCTAAATGCAGCACTTCGCACTTGCCCCTCTTGAAAATAAACATCTTGTTTGGACTGTGTTTCCAGTTTGGCATTTTGAATTCTCTTCCCATCCTGTGGTGTGCACAGTCCCTCAGGCCTGGTGCTCGCTGCATACTAATAACACTCGAGGCAGTTGGCGTAATTGCTTGGCTTGGGCTGTGGGCCTTGCTTAACAAATCAGGTCAGGAGAGGCATTAACTCAGTGAACAGGGTGCTGCAGTGACAGTCTCAGAAGCCGCATTCTCTTAGCTGTGCCTCTGAGCCTCAGACAAGCCATCAGATATTCTTAATCTCTCTTTTTCTCCTGTGTAATCAGGATAATGATGCTCGGTTTCATTCTGCAGTTTCTTGCAGGCTGTTCTGCTCTGTTGGCCCTCGTGGCAGAGCTTCAGTGCTCTTGTGCATTTGCAGCTGCTGGTTTTGTTACTCCACCCTTGTATTTTAGTACAACAGCCACATTGTCAGGCACAGGTGGTATTTATTTCAACCATAGCCTTCACCTGTCATGAAATATCCCCTTGGTATCAATTACAGAAATGTGCTCTTGTCTTTTGATTTGCTTCATTGCAAGTATTTTTAGTCTTGACGCTTCCTTAAACAAAGGAGCCCACACATCAGGTTTGCACATCAGTAAACTCTTTAGTCGAAACTGAATTGCTGCTGTCCAGAGAACAGACGAGTTGTCTGTCTACTCAACAGGCAGGAGGCTATCTACAAGCTCTCTTTTTGTGTTGAAACTACAAGAAACCATGTTTCCGATAGCCTTGAGATATGATTGAATAAAGTGAAATCTCTGAAGTATTGAAGTATTATTTTATGAAGTGCAGCAGCAGTTTCTGAAACTGAAGTAGCAGCATAGCTGGGAGCGGATCTCCAAAACTTCCGATCTTCACCGTATAGCTGCCAGCTAAAGGGTGTGAGCTGTCAGTTTCCCTAGCTTTTCAGATGTGTAAAGAAGTGCACTAAGTTTTGTTTTAATACTGATGTTAGTATGCAGCATTGCGGCTGTGCTGGAGACTACCTTTTCTCTGGTAGGGAGAAGGCATTTCTTCCTTTGAAATCCTGTATTATTCTTTTGGCCCACTTCATGAAACACAGTATTTATTCTTTTCCTCTTTGAAACCCTGCCTGCCACCTTGCCTCTGCACTTGTCAAGGCCCACAGGATGCTTGTTGGGTACCCACAAGCATCAGCACAGCAAATGAACAAGAATAATTCACCTGTAAAGCCTGAGACCACAGAAGCCAGGCTCATGGCCAAGCTGAAATTGCAGCCTTTTGTGTTAGGTTACTGTTGTGCAACAAGCAGAGGTAAACTTTCATTTAGTCAGAAAGCACTGCTCCCTTTCCCGGCAGGCAGGACTGAGGCGTATTCTGTGCAAATGTTGTTTGGAGAGATTGGCTGTGCCATCTCCAGTCAGGCTGTGCTGACCCCTGCAAGCACAAAATGTCTCTGAAGCAGCACCGTGAGCCTCTGCTTTGTGTGCTGGTGCGTGAGTCATTACGGTGTTTGCTTCTGGATCAATAATTGAAGCAGACGTGAAAGAAGATATTTGCCATGTAACAACATTTTGAAGCTATTTCTGCATGAAATAAGATTATTTTTATTAGTTTCTGTGCTAGATAATTTTGGATATATTGCCTCTGTAGTCCTCAGAGTTCCCTCTCACTTGCTCAGCAGCCCAAGACTTGAGAGTAAAACATCGTAAGAGGTAATTTGGCCTAAGATAACTCTAGGTTTGTGTTACAGCTCAAAGCACTTTTTGGTCCTGAATGTGCCCAGGGACTGGAAATATTTATAAATGATTTATATCTCTTGTGTTTTCCTGCCAGCCAGAGAGGGACAAAGTTGAGGCTGGCTTTGGAAATGTAGTTACAGAATTTTCCTGACCTGATCTAGGTGATTTACTTTGCACATAAACATCCCTATTAAACCTCTTTCTTGAGTTAGTACATTTTCTTATCTGGAGGGAGGTGATAGTAATTCCTTTCCCTATCCCCAGTAGTATCTTTTTCCTTACTACTGTTGTTTAGACAGTTTGGTCAGACCATAAAGTACCTATGCATCTGATTTCTTTTATCAACATATGATAGCCATAAAAATGGGAGATGACTGTTGTCAACAGTGAATGGCCCTGTCAGTAACTAAGGATGAACGATAATCAGGAAGTACTTCTTCTCAGAGTGAAAATTGTGACTTCTGGCACATACAACTAATCTTCCCTGTAGCTGGACCTGTGGAGTGTCAGCAGCTTGCAGCCTGGGAACTGTGAGAGAGGTGGAGATGTGTGGTTGCTTCCGTGTAAACTGCCTGAGCTCTCTTCTAAGGATTCAGCTGTTGCTTGAAAATATGCTGTTGTAATTAATAATAAAATGTCGAAAGCTCGAGAAACTTGCAGCAGACTCTGAAATATGCTGACTTTTAGGAGCCCGAAGTGCAATTCAGAAGGAATTTTTCCAGAACACAGAAAGTCCATATGTCTGTGACAGTGTTCCGCTGTGTTAAATAGGGCTGCATAGACAGGTTGCTGTTGGCATTTAACACTGTGTCAGTTACAATTTCCAATATTAGCATTGATGTGCTTTATATTTCAAAGTGTAGAGAGTATTTAAGGCTATCCAGTATGCTCTGTCTGTGAATTTGCTCTTGATTTCCCTCTCATGTCTGCCACATGCTTTCATGTTCTTTGCAAACTCAGCCCATAATTAGCACTATCTCTGTGAACACAGCTGCCTTTTTGGAGGAGGCTGTACTCTGAAGTTCATATAATAATCTTTTGTATGGACTGAAATAACACTTGGACACTTTTTTTCTCTTATTTGTGAATGCTGTTTAGTAATATTTGAAATTAAAATTTGCTTCAGCTGCGGCGTGTTGGCACTTGCACACAGCAATTCCTAGATAGACATTTAAATAAAGCTGTAAGTGCTGTGTTGTGGCTTGAACACAGACATGCCCACCCCCTGCTTTTGTACTACGTGGATATGTCCCATGGAGCAGAGAACAGAGGGACATCCAACTGTAAGACCCCATCACTGAGGCTGCTTCTCACCTTGCCTATTTGGCCAAGGTGGGGTTCAGGGCAGGAGGTAGCTCCAGACACCAGCTCATGTAAGGCAACTCCCTGAGACAGAGCAGTGGCTGTTTCTGCAGCTTCTTGGATTCTCCTCTACCATTTAGGTTGTCCTCCTAAGTGAGGAGAAGGAGCAGAGAAACTTTGCTGTCCTGCTTCTAGGACTTGCCTGATTTGAGGACTTGACTGCAATCCAAGGCTGTTGGTCCAGCACTTAACATGAACTAAGTTTGTGATTCTTTAAATGAAAAGAATTAAAAGATGCTTACAGGGCTGGCCAGCATCCTGCAAGCCCCAGGAGATGTGCTGTGCTATTACTAGAAGTTACTCAGCCATCTTCACAGTTAGATCAACAGCCCATAGAAATGGGAGGGTGCTCTAGAGAAGGCATGGGGATGGGGAGAGCAGGATTAAAGTGGAGGAAGCTTCTAGCCTTGATTCTCCCTCCTGGCACTCCAGAAGTATGGCTGTATCTGCAGGTAAGTGGAAGAAGGGCCCTGGAAAACAGACACATCTTTTTCTCCCTCTATACTCATTTGCAGCTCTCATGTGAAAGATGTCAGACCCAAAAGGACAGCAGGACAGTGTGCCATCTCTCTTAGCATGCAGAGGTACTAGTATTGGAAGTCTCTCGTGTCCCCTCTGGCACATGGGTAAAAGGAGAAGAAAGACAAAGTGCTCTGAGATAATGCAAAGTTAGAAGTGATGCTCAAGGGAAAGGAAGGGGAAGGCATAAAGAAAGAGGAAAGACAAGGAAGAAGGATAAAACTAGCACAGGACCAACAATCTGCAGAGGCTGAGCTGGGCTGTGTTCTCCTTGTTCTGTCCAAGTGATGGTACAGCCCCTGCTCACTGGTAGCTTGTGTACAGGTAGGAGTAACTGGCTGCACACATAGATAACAGCATTCAGAAATCTTAACAGTGGCAAGCCTTCACAAGGCTTGCTGAAACAGCAGCACTGTCTGACTCTAGTTAGGGTACTCTCTTTCTTGCCATAACTTACTGTCTTTCCTGTTTCCCTGCAGGTGGTTTGAGCAGTTTGTGATGCAGTGGCTGGATGAAAATGAAGACGTTTCCTTAGAATTCCTGCACGGTGCTCTGGAGAGAGATAAAAAAGACGGGGTATGTAGGTCACTCTAAGTGAAGGACTTGGTGCTGCATTCTTCAGTGGCCCTAACCGAACATTCTCTCTCTCATGCAAATGGAGAATGCAGCCCTTTTTGCTTGCTAAACAACTAGGAAACTCATTTATTTTAGGATTTTTCTCTACAGGTCACAGAGAATTGTTTAATAGCAAGATGCTTATCATTCATTTATTTCTGTTCTGTTCTGCTGCTGTTAATCTGTCAACCAGCTTGATGCTGTCTCATCTCTCTGTGTTTGTGAGATGTAATTGAAATATAAAGCATTTTGCATGTACTTAGTCATGCAATGAGAATGTGACCTTAATCCATTGACAGAGTAATCTTATTCTTAATTTGCTGAGTATTTGTGATGGAGAGCAAAAGTCTTTCCATTTATTCAGTGACTGTTGGTGCTGTACTCTGTGATGCTAATATAAGCATTCTCTTTAACAGCTAAATTTTAAGAAAAATTTTAAAAAACCTCTTTCTCCTCCTTTCTTCAGTAACTGGCAGGCAAGCTGTGCATTTCATTAAAGGTCTCATCATCATGTTGCATTTCCTTGGTGCTTGTCATGTCATAGTTGGTGAAGGAGAGTAAACCTCTAACCCAACAGAATTGGCTGTTTAGCTCCTCTGTGCCTTTTGAAGAACTTCTGAGTAATTCTGAGGAAGATGTAGGTTTTGGTAAAGTTCTGCCTCCGACACAGCAGATGATGGAGATGCCCGTGAAATGGGTGTATTTCAGGTCTTTGCATTTGAGAATGACCCTTTGTACTTCTGTTTTAGTTCCAGCAAACATCCGAGCATGCTCTGTTCTCTTGCTCAGTGGTGGACGTCTTCACCCAGCTTAATCAGAGCTTTGAGATCATTAAGAAGCTGGAATGCCCAGATCCCGTCATTGTTGCTCATTACAATAGGAGGTTTGCTAAGGTAACTCCAGCTGTTCATGTTCCCATAGTGGGATGCAAAACAGTATGATGTTTTTTTGGTTTTATTGCCTGGAGATCTCCTGGTGTGACAGAGGAAAAGTAACAGTGCTCACGTCTTGTCTTCACAGACTATTGGGAAAGTGCTGATGCAGTATGCTGACATCCTCTCCAGGAGCTTCCAGTCCTACTGTTCCAAGGAGAAACTGGTGAGTCATGCTGAGTTTTTCCTCTGCCCTGAGGAATAACATAATTGTCCTCATAAAATAAAAAAGTTTCATTTATTGCACCTGATCATGTTGATGATGTAAATATTTTCTGTATTGTTTTTTGTCGTCATTCCTATGCTTTTGTAGTACTGAATCTTTTATCTTGGTGATAAAACAAGACTGAGTCTTGAGGGTGATCTGCAGGTCCCCTTAAAATTAACTTCCACTCTGCCTGTCTGGGTTGTGTGTCACAGAGGTGATTAAAAACAAAACTAAACCCACCACAAAACAAAACCAAAAAACAAAACCAAAAAACTCTGAAACATGGGCACAAGTTGCTCTGTAGATCTGGTATTCAGCAGCACTCTTGGTTTACTGTTGTCTCCATCTTACTCTCTTGCTGTTTAGTCCTGAATTAAGTAAAATTCTGTATAGTAAATAAAAGAGTGTCTTACATTTTTGAACCCTGAGTCTGTTGCATGCTGGTTTTTCTATCTCTTGCACCTGTAATGGGGATGTAACTGCAGAGGGAAGAGACTGTTGCTCAGGCTGCCCTTCACTGTTTCTCCCAAGCTTGGCCTGGCAGGACCCAGATGTTTCTGTGAATGCAGCTTTGACTTGAAGTTTCCCTTCTGATCTGGGATGTCCCTCATTCACAAATAGTACTTTGCAGCATTGAGAGGCTGAAGGTGACACAGCTTGGACACTTGCAGGGCATGGCAGGAGCTGCAGGAAGTTGGGCCTAGTCCTGACACTGATTTCTTGTCTTTATGTGATGAAGTGAGGAGGAAAATACAGTAGCAGAGATCTCCCTGATCTGGGGTTTCTGGAACTGGCCATCCTATTTCAAGCTGGGGAAAAAAAATGGCTTGCCTCTTCTTAGGTTTGAGTGCTGGAGTCTGTGCTTGCCCTGCCTCCTCTTGGACTCTCGAATCTGGTGGTACTTGGGGAAGGATACTGAGGCACTGACTGTACCACTGGTGAAAATGTGTTGGCATCCTGAGCAATAACAGGCTCCTGCTTTTGTCCCTTCAGCCTTGCATCCTGATGAATAACATCCAACAGCTGAGGGTGCAGCTCGAGAAGATGTTTGAAGCCATGGGTGGTAAAGAGGTAAGAGTGCTATGAGACTGAGTGTTACTTATTGCTACTGCTCTTGTGGGCTGGATGTGGGCTTGGCTGGTGGTTTCACAGCTCTGAAGATGGGCAGATATGTCTGAGAGCTGTTGACATCAAGTCATTCTATGTGGCATGTAAATGTGGGACAGCACCTTTGGCATTAAATGTCCAATATCTAATACATTGCAGATACACAAATGAGAGTTCTGTACATGTGCTTCATTGAATATTCAGATGTGTACATGAATATAAATATCTTAGTTTTCATTCTTTGTTCTGAGATGGCCATTTTTACAGAAATAAGGTTTTCTTCCCCCACATCGCTGTGTCTGTTCTGATATAATCTGTGTATCTGTGTTTTTCTCTTTTGTTTTTCATTGCTTTTCAAGATTCAGGAAGATGAAGAAAAGCCTGCTGATGCTGATGTTAGAAAAAATTATTTTCAAAGCCTAAGTGTATTCTCTTTGGTTGTGTTGTGGTAGAACCTGTCCTCTGACCTCTGTGTCAAAAGGAAAGTCAGCTTTGCCGATGGGCAGCTCATTTTTTGCCTATATTGCTGTTTCAAAATTTTCTTGTGTTCAGTGGCAGAATCCTATGAAGGAGCAAAAATCTCAACAAATAGGTTTACCCCAAGAGACAAGGAAAACTGGTGTCATTCTTTCATGTGTGATCTCCACAATTCTAATTTCCGAGCCCTACCTGAAGAATTAGAACTATATGTTCCCAGCTCTAATAGCAGTGGCAGCTAAATGCTCATTTTTCAGAAAAAAATAATCTTGTGATGAAATTTTTGTGAATTGGTTTATAAAGTTTTAATCCATGTGCACTTAATTTCCCTTAAGGAATCAATTTGTTACTTTTTTCCATAGCAGTAGCCGTTAAATAGGGTTTCCCTATATTTCAAATTGAAAATACCACTTGATAATGTGTTAAATAGGGGGAGGGAAAAAAAAGGCTGTCAGCTACTTTTCCTGGCCTAGACCTGCTTCCTGCCCTTTAAAACCATTTTCAGGAGGTATGGACAAGGTTGAACAGAGGTGATGAATCCACTGTTTCCCCTGCATTGTGGACTCAAAAGGCAGAAAAGGGAGAGGAACCCAGGGTGTGAGCAAGAAAACGCATGGGAAGAAACCTGACAAACAGACTAGGAAGCTGGTTTTTGGGTGTGATTTTTGTCTTTTCAGCTGCTGCTTGTCTACTTCATTAGGCTGCCACTGATCACCAGAAATAAATCGTGTTGTGCTAGGTGCCTGCATTATTTGCTGTCCCCAGGGGTTTCCCTCTTGGTGACTATGTAGTACTTTGCTTCTTGACTTGATACCTGCCAGGTCTTGTGTTTTGCTAGAGTAAACAAGGTCTTGTCCTAGTTTTAGTGGTCCCTTTTTCTGATGTAGATTGAACCTGGCTAGTGAGTGACAATTGGTGAGAAAACAACTTTGAAAATAGAGTGTGTAGACAATGTGCTGCTGGAAATACATCTATGGGTTTTATCCTCTCCTTCAGGAAGGGCAGTTCTTACTTTCTGTGACAGATTTGATTTGTAGTCATCTATACACCACACAGTAGCTTGCACAAACATAAGCATTGTCCTGACTTCTCTACCCAGAAAGGAACTGTGTCCTTGGTGGAATAAGAAAGTAGTATAGTTGTATGTCCTGGTCATCTCAAACTGTTCAACTTTTTGCATTCTCAAAGATGTTATTGAGAACTAGGTACCAAATGTTCCATTGTTCCTATGGCAGGAATGTTAGATGTACCATGTGTGAGCCCAAACCTGGGGATTGGTTCCAGCTACTGTGTAGTTGTGGCTTCATCTGCTTCTGATTCACAGATCCATCTACAGCTGTAGTACTGCGCAACTCTGGAAGGCTTTGAGATACTGCTGGTACCTAATGCTCTTTGCCAGTGGTTCCAAAACACACTTCTATGGAGATCCATATCACTTACTCTCTTTTGCAGCAAGGGAAATGAAGGGACAGGGCTCACCCTGCAGTGTAATGGCATAACATGGAACAGAACTGCTTGCCCACTACTATTGCTTGAGATTGGGCTCCTTGATATAGTGCCTTCCTTTTCTTGCCCTAAATGAGCAGTGGTACTTCCTACTGTGGTACTCAGAAGACACAAAAATAATTGCCCAGCACCTCTGCATTTAGTATGCTAGTATGTTGACATCACTTGGTCTGTAAACAGTCAGAACAGTCAGGACAGCAGCAGAGCTTCAGAGCGCTCTGTGTGGAGGGTTTTTCTTAAGTCTGTGCTTCAGTTCTCAAGGCATATATATATGTGTATATGTATATGTATATGTATATGTATATGTATATGTATATGTATATGTATATGTATATGTATATGTATATGTATATGTATATGTATATGTATATGTATATGTATATGTATATGTATATGTATATGTATATGTATATGTATATGTATATGTATATGTATATGTATATGTATATGTATAATGTATACACACACACAGAAATAAGTATCTTAAATTATTTTTAGGCTTTATAATTAATACTTTTATTTTCCCTCTGAACTGTGTTGATCTTAAGGGATCAAAACAGCTTCACAATGGCTCAGTAGGATTCTCAGAGTTTCCTGAAGCATGTTTTGGAAAGGCACCATTTATGGAGTGGCATATAGCAGGAAAAGCGTAATGACCAGTGGAATCAGGGACTGAGTACATGGTACATGAATTTGGTACATTTCTGAAACCTCTGAGCACTCTGAATCATCTCCAGTACACCCACAGAACAGAGACTGTAATTTAGCTCTGTGCTAAAGTGGGCTGTATAGATTCATTGTTAATGTTTGCCTGAACTTGGCCCCAATTATTCATACATTATCTAATAAAACCTGGTGTGACCTGTATTTTCTACCCATCTCTGCAGTTTTCCTGCAGACTTCAGCCTGCTCTGTGTGCAGTCTCTGACACCGGAATAAACCTTTCTCACTTTGCTTGAGAGAGATGGCTTTCTGTAGTCCATTATTTTGCTTAGCTTTTTATGCATTATGAACTTACGGCACTGAAATTAATGTGTTGTAGTGCATTGCCCACTGCTGGAGTCTAGATATGCTGTGGAAGCCTAGTTTAAAACATTTCTGCACTTTTATTTTTTCCCAAAGTCAAGTGTGTGGGGTGAGTATCAGAGACAAGCACTGCCTGGGGAATCCAGAGAATTAGCTCTTGAGTAGGAACAGATTGTCATCATACAATTTTCATGCCTTCGGTTTCAAGCTAATCTGTACAATTAATGCTTCAGGAAACTCTCCTCTTAATGCTCAGCCGGGGTTAGCCCACATTTTAAATCCTAAGTTAGCCACCTGAATAACAAACTGCAGGACAGCTTAGAAATAGCCCAGACTTGATAGAAATGTTCTCAGAGGATTTGCAGTATCTACTGATTGCTCCTCTTTAGCATCCCATGTGCCATAGCTAAGGCCACCCTAGTATTTGAGAAGCTGACAGCTGTTTGGATTCAGTACTTTAGGTTCTTTGCTCTTGAATCCTATAGGAAAGTGGGGAGATGCATGGAAAGTCAAGTGCAAATGAGTCCCTGATGAGAGGTTGGAGCTGCAGAACTCCCTGCCTCACAGTCACCGCTGCAAAGGGGAGCGACCAGGGACTGGTGGAGGGAGGCAGAACAAAAACCAGCAGCTTCAAGCTGGAGCCAGATGACCTCTATAACTTGCATAAAACTAAAATAAGAGAGTAGGGAAAAATTCTCTAGCTGCTGATATGTCAGGTCAGACCTGACGATTTCAGAGGTTCTCTGGCTTTAATATGTGAATTGGTTAACATATTCAACTTTCCAGTAGGGAAGAGCTATGTTTCTCCAGCTACAGAGGAGCCTTCCAGTTCTGGTCACTCGCACTTCACCGGTACGTGTAGAAACCAAAGAACTACTAATGACAACTCTTGGAAAACTTGGAAGCCCATCACAGCAAATTCTTGGACTCATGAGTTCCATTTCATCCATCAGAGAAGCAGGAGAAGACCAAACTAAATTTCAGTTCATATCACTATGCTGTAAATGCCACCATTCAGAGTAGTAGAGAACTTGAGGCCTGGATTCTCTGAAGTATCAAGTCCCAAATCTTTACAGAAAATAAACAGGACCCTTCTTTTTTCCCCTGAAATGTAAAGATAAGGTTACCCTTTCCCTCTTTGCATACACCTTAGTTTTCTGTATTGCATAGTTAGACTCGACCACAGAGCTATGGCTGCACTAGCTGTTATGTCCACTGGAACTGGAGCACTTGCTCAAGCTACCTCATGGTGGGTACTGTCCCGTGTTTTGCACAGACAACTTTTCATTAAATTTCTTCCTCTGAATCATCTCCATTCTACTCACAGAATGGAGATCATAAGCCTGCTTAGCTCCAGCTTCCATTAGAAATCATCTGGACATTACATATGACAGTGAGCCAGCTGCCTAACACTGCTTTCTGCTTGCCAGCCAGATTTATCATGCAGCCCAAGCAGCATTTCCTGCTATCAGCAATAGCTGATGTGCTTAGAATTCATTGGCTGAGCAGCAACAGCAAAACATACGCTATTTCATTTGAGCACTGTTATCAGTGCTTTACCATATTGGCAAAGAATAGTTTGCAGTTATACCACGTGCTGCAGGGACTCAGTAGCTGATGTGTAATTTATATATTTGGAACAGTAGTACACACCTACCAGCACCTTCCTAATGGACTTAAATCACACTCAGGTAATACTCCGAAATTTGCTTTCAAGTCAAAGCATGCCAATACCTAAGCATTAACTATCAGTAATGTATTACCTATCAGTATTAACTATCAGCAATGTATTATGTGGATGACTCCTTCTATAACAGCAGCTGCTCAGAAGACAACAGCCTTTTTATTACGACAGATGACCTGGTGTATACTGAACCAGAATGCTTACCACCATGGTTTGGCTTCCTGGGTGTAAGAGTGGGCACCTCAAAGTGAAATCTGTGCAACTGTCTTGCCAATTGCACCCAGAGCACTGGGAGATGGTGTTCTGGATGAGAGACAGTTCCTCTCCACATTTAATGGAGCTCATTCCCTTGGCAAAGCGTTGCTCCAGCTGTCCCTTCTTGCAGTACAGGGCTTGCAATCAGCCTTTCTTCTGCTCCTGAGAAGATCAGTTTGTAGTCAACAACTGCAATAGCGAGAAGAAGCTTAGAGGTAGTTGGCAAGCTCTCCATGTCACCTCACAGTAAAACAAGGCATTAATTGCATGATTCATGAACCAAGGCAATAAGTCATTAATCCTGATCTCAGATATCCTCTAGACCTGTAGTGCATGCATCTGGTAGCTTATAAAGAAGTAGAAGTAAATAGTGAGGAATAGGTGTCTTCTGCCAAATTATTCTGGCTTTTTTTTTTCCAAGTGGAAAAGCAGTTACTTAAAATGTTTTGATGAATTATGAACTGGTCCTGCCTCAAATCTACCAGAAATGGCCAAAATCAGAGAACTGTTTAGTGCCATTCATTGCAAACCAGACAGCTTGTGACTTGTTGACAGTAGGAGAAGGGAAGAATTAATGTAGGAGCAAGTCAAACCATCGCCAACAAATGCTGGTTTTGTTACCTACAAGTTTGGCTAGAGTGGCTGCTGATTGGCATGACATCAGCTTTCACAGTGAGGGAGTTAAAAGAGTAATAGGAATACAAATTCACATTAATAAAGGAAAAGTAATCAGAGCTAGCAATACCTGAGTTAGAAGGCTTAAGTAATCATCACTTACTTGGGTTTTTAAAAATTATTTTTAAAATTCTGATCCGTGAGTTTCATTAGCACAGGTTCAAATGCCTAATAGAGTCAGTTTTCCATGCCAGCTTACAACCGGAAAATGAACGGATCAGATTCCAAATCCCTTAAGACTTGGCTTTCTCTGACAGAAGCTGAGGAACATGAAGAGGGCTTCAGCACTATATATGGAAGTGGGAACTCCTCTCATGTTCAAATCCTATATAGCTCCATGCATGGATATACCGTAAAAATCTAAACTGATTTTTTACCACTGTGTTGTCATCTGGCTCATTACATTTGTAAATAGATACTCTACCTTGGAGGTAAGGGCTGAAGTTCTGAATGCCAGATGCATACATTTCTGGAAGGTTTTTGTTCTACAGGCAGCCTGCCTGCCTGCACACAAAGGTAAACCTGTTTTACAAGTCACTTTTTCAGAGCAAACGATCCCAAAGCATTCAATGTATGTTGTTATGTGTACACACAGGTAGGATGCTCAAAAGTGGCTCTTTAGAGGCTGAAGGGATGACTACAACTGGAATACAGGGTACTGTCAAATGCAAAAACAGGTGGCTTCAGGCTGATAATAACGAAACAAGTGGTTTCTTACAGCTTGTGCCAAGGTGTCAGCAGTGTCTGTGTAGTGCTTGGGGAACTTCTTTTTGTTTTGTGAAATCTTCTCTGAACAGTTTGTACAAAAAGCTTGTCGTGTTGAGAGTATAGCTACTTGTGCTCAATGGCCATAGCTGAGATTTTGGTTTCCAAAAGTGATCAGTGCACAGCAGTTCCTGGCATGATATTGCGACCAGATTTTGAAAATAGGTGAGGTCTTCTGGGAGCAGTGGCTAGGTCAGTCTTCAGTTTGAATACTAACAGCAGGGTGGAAGGTGAAATAGCATCTTTCAAGTCCATGCATGGGGAAATGCACAAGTAAATAACATGCAGTCTGAAAAGCCCTGCTTCCTTCTAGACTTAGAGCGGTGAAATGATCCGTGAGCCAAAGGTAATGCACAGCGCTTGATGATTTCTCGGCCTGCTTACTCTGTTGGCCACAGGGAGTTCACATTCACTTTCCTGCTCAACTTTGCAAATATCAGGAAGTGTATCGGAGGGTACTGGAGCCTAGGGAAAACCACTTGCTGCTGTTTAGGCAAGTACTTGTTGATGATTTCACAGCTTCTGTAACAGCATCAGGCAGTGGAGGAGAGCATCCTAGCTGGCAGAGTTCACTGGTAGTAGTTCACCTGCTTATTAAGAGTAGCCACAACAGTGTGGAAGAGCACTGTGAAGGACAGGAGACTGCCCTCTGGGTTCAAGCTAAGTGCTCTTCTTTCATCCACAGCTGGATGCAGAAGCAAGTGACCATCTCAAAGAGCTCCAGGTGAAGCTGAACAATGTTCTGGATGAGCTGAGTGCAGTGTTTGGTAACAGGTGAGTACAATGAGGTCCCTGTCCTTGAAGCATTTCTTTCTTTTGTCTAATCTTATTCAGTCAGGTTAAGAAGAGAAAAGAAACTTATGTCAACTGCGTTGTATTTTTCTTTTTGTCAAAAATTCATGGTGTTCCAAGTACTGAGACCATCTAAAGAAGTGAGAAATGGTTTTAAAGTCTCTCTTTTCTATATTGCTGTGCTCAGAAATGTAACATGGAGATCTCTCAACTGTGAAATGTATTTGAATTACACAGAGTGACTTTTTTCCTTAAGTAGTGCTTGTCAGTAACAGAGTTGCCTGCTCCTTTGTTGCTCAAAAAGCAGTTTCCAGCTGAACGTTTATGAAGCAACATTCTTGTTTAAACGTTCTCCTCTGAATGATGAAACAGCTGAGTGATTTCTGATTGTTAAGAGTATTGGAATACGGAGGAAACAGGTTTAGAATTTGAGATTGGCTGGTTCTAATGTTGCAGTGAATGGTGTTTTCTAATGTTCAAATGGGAGGAGTTTTTTAAAGTATTGCCAGAGTAATTGATGGCAATGAAGTTTTATTGCAGATTGTGTTACCATTTACCTGAGGATAAAAATGTGCTCGACTTCATAATAATTTTGTAGTGAACCATAAAAGACGTCAATTCAGCAAAATCTAGACATACATGGTTCCCAACTGATCTTCAAAAAAAACCACTTCTCATTATAAAACCCATTCATTTCACGTTGTGCTTTACAACAACATGAATGCAGGCATGAACTGTAGTATAGCTGAAACATGGGCAAGGGGAATAAAGCAAATGTTATCAACTTGGCCTCCTACAGTCTACAGGTTTGCAGTACTTACGACAAAAAAAATCATGGTGGGATTTGTCAGCAACTATTTGGATTTCAGCACACAGAGCTAAGTGAGGAGTTCCCATTGCCAGTACTGGATGCTATAGCAAGAAATGGAGACAGTCAAACTGTAACTGAATTGAATCGATAAGGTTCATAATTAGATGGAAGATGAGTGAGAAATCATAATTAGGAGGTGAATTTTGTTATCTGGAGCCTGTCTCCATGGTGTCACTGCTACAAGACAATTAGGGTACAATCTTGACATTTGCAAATATGATTTAGAGAGATTATTCAGTATGAGCATACATACACCAGGGAATGCTTTAGAGATGTGCCAGCAAGAGATTTAGCCAGTCAGACGGCTCATTCCTTAACAGTAATAGGGAATGAAAAGCAGAGCTGCAGTTTACTGTATATAAGTAGGACCTTCTAAAGGATGTAAAAGTGGGAAGTAAGTCAGATATCCACAATATTCTGTGCAGAGTCTGTAAACAGTTGCTCCTGCAACACTATGCACACCTGATGCTGCAGATCATAACTTTTCTTCATCTGTGTGAGATCATTGTGCCTGCTGGGAAAGCAGCATGCATCGGAGAGCCTCACCACCTTGTGCTGAGAGAGGATTATGTCTGGACACAGAAGCGTTTTCTGCTTTAAAGTATATCATAGGGAAAAGGACCCTTGAAAGTATTTATACTTCACACAAGGCTAGTTGCCATTCTAGGGAGCTGTAGGAGTGAAGGAGGGAATTCCTATTAGGGAGCAGAAGGCCCTCTCTGACAGCATAGGTGAGGCTGTCTGTTAACCTGCTGCTGCTGCCAAGGGCTCCTGTTAAGCTGTGCCTCTATAGAAGCTTCACTTTCAGGTGAACCTGTTGCTGCAGTAACTGATACACCATTTTTCATAACTGGTGACAATTTTGACTCATAATTATTTTTATATTTTAAGGAATTCTGTTATTTTTTTATCTCCTGCCTGGAGATTGAAAGCTTCTTGAAGCAGGTTCCTGCAACTGATGCAGTGTTCTGGAGAACTATGGGGTGAGGTCAGCCTGTAGGAGTACAGGGACTGTCAGTAGTACAGAAAGTGCTTGGTGCTATTTTATTTGATGTGACTCATGTCTCTGGTTAAGCTGTCACTGCAGCCACACCTGGCTGCTGCACGCCACTCTCCTAGAAATGAGGAAAATGGAAGTGGAAGCAGCATGGCGAAAGAGCCCTGGAATTGCTCTCTGGCATTGCTCCAGCGAGAGGCAGATTAGAAGTGAGCAAGAGAGGGATCATGAGGCTGGGGGTGGCAGAGCAGGAGAAGAAAGAGGTGATGGGGTGGAGGAGGAAGGTGAGAGCCACAAGGCAGAGGGGTTGTGTGCTAGCACCCAGCCCACAGATGTCCTAGGTGCCTCACACAGCAGAGTTTCAGGCCACTTATGCAGACATAAAGCTGACTTCCAAACCTGTGTTACCGCTCTTAAATATTTACCCTAGCTCTTAGCACTGACTTCTCTTCCTGGCTTCAAACCTCTGTGCTGTTAGTAGATAGCTAAATGTGACTTGTAATGCCTGATGTTAGTAACTATTCTTTCAAATGTCAAAGCATTTTCCTTTATTGGCTGAATTCATACGTTGACAGCTCTGTTGATCTATTCATCATTTTAACCATTGTATTATTTCATTTTGAACCTCCTCTTGGCAGTAAATATGGGAAAGTAACTGTGCTTTAATGGCTTGCATGACACTTCATTACAGTGGCACTGCTCGTTGCACAGCTGAGCCCTGCATCCTGTTTTGACACTGTGATATAGCATGCACTTTATGACGGGCTTCAATCGCTGCCTGCCTTTGGGCTGTCACTGTTATTTTAAAGACATAGCCTATGATGGGTCATAACCAAATTACTGCCAGTGGACTCGGAGTGCTCACAGTTGTGCATACGTTGTGCCATTCCTCCATGCTATGTTCCAGTCTCTGTTGTGTAACACCCTGTGTAGAAAGCAAAGGCACAGCAGGGTGCTTTGAGCTAAGAGTAACAGTGTTTCTTGAAATCAGGAAAGGATGATTTGTTTTTGCAAGATGAATGAACAAACTCCTCTGGATTTTCCTGCTGGAAATAAGCAGAAAATCTTGAGAAGGAAGAGCATGTAATTGAGTGCATGGTTTATGGACTTGGAATATTTTAACTTTATGTACTGGACCTGAGATTTCTGCCTCTGAGAATCTTGGTTTTGCCTTTCTCCTGTCTGTTCAGCTTTCAGACTCGTATTGATGAGTGTGTCAAGCAAATGTCTGATATCCTCTGTCAGGTGAAAGGGACAGCAAATGCTGCTAATGCCAGAAACACAGTTGCACAAGATGCAGATAATGTCCTGAGGCCACTGATGGATTTCCTGGATGGAAAGTAAGCAAGTATTCAAGTATATGTTACACATAACAGTGCATCAGATTGGGAACAGGATGGGGGGAGGAAAAATAGCTCCATGTTCTTGGGTTGTTCTTGAGGTGTCCAGCCTCTGAGTTTTCAGGAATTAATGGCTTTTCTTCCCATACCTGCCTCTCTCTCAAGCTATGGATCACTTCAGCCTTCATCCAGTGCCAGAACACACCCTCAGTTCTCCTCTATGCCTCTGGCAATTTTAGCAATCAGCAGAACACACTGCTGACCAGGCAATGCGAAAGACTGGAATTCTAAATCTTATAGCTATGGTTTTTTTTCCTATGCAAATTGTACTGTAGCCAATTAGCAAACATATTGCAGACCATACCTACATACTTGATACATATACTGCTCAGTATCCCAGTTATGTTAAGCATGTGTGTTCTAGTCATACCCAGTACTGTTCTGACTAGAAAATAAGCTTCTGAACTGTGTGATACACATAAGCTTGATCCATTGCTTTACTCAGCTGTTGCCATTAACTCCATGCAGCATGATTCAGCTGTATGGGGACTGTTTGTGGCTATCTGCACATAATCCTCATCAGCTAAGCCTTGATCTACGAAGAGAAATAGTTTTTAATCACTGTAGAAGTTAAACTTCTTGCTGATGCACAGCAGTTCTTTATTTTGAAAGGGGTGGCCAGCAATTTTCATAATAAGTGCTGCAAGAGATGTGAAGCTTTATGAGTTTAAAATACAGCTTCTTTTATTGCTCTTTGTATTGATTGTCCCATCCTTCATTTGAGTGACCACGTAGTAAGTGACTGCAGCAATCGTTACATCTAGGAGCCCTCTCATTTGAGCATTTTCCATGCATGCCTTCACAAATCCTGAGAAGCCACCTTCCTTTGAACCACTGCAAACTTGGTATGCTGCAGGCTTTTTGTCCAGCTATGGTGCAAGTCATTTTGGTAATGATAATCCAAGCCTGGATTACTTTCTTTCCTTCTTTATGGAAGGAGAGTCTTTTTCAATGCTTCTTGCATCCTACCCACATCAGTCTTGTCTTTGTTCAGTTTTGTTCATTTACTGTCTTACCAGCTACGGGAAGAAGGGAAATCTGGGAGAAGTTACGCAGTGTAGAAGTCAGCTATCACCTGTGCGCTGCTTCTGGCTGCAGAGTTCTCGTTCTGTAGCTCTCCCCGTGTGATCAGTAAATGCCAAAGTCCAACAATAATTTTGAAGAAGAATCTAACATTTCTCGGCCTTTTCAATAGCCTGTACAATAGAGGAGGAATAAAAAGGGAATTAAAGCAGAACTTCTTTATGTAAAAGGGAATAAACATACAGCAGGTGATAGGTGGTGAATGCAATATATGACAAAATACAGAGGAGTCCAAGAAATGCTTCAAGGTGGTAGGTTTAGGGACTCCAGCAGCTATCAGAAGCTGTACAGGAACTTCTGCATAACAGTCTGGGGGGTATCAATGTAGATATTCAACAAAAATCATTATAATAACTCCTTGAAGTTTAAAGCCTATTATTCTATATTAGTTTGTAGTTTTTTTTCCTGTGTACTCTGTAAATCTAATACATCAGGAAGTAACTTCTTAAAGGTAACCAGTTCAGCGGTATCTGCTCTTATCTGGACTATTCCCAACCACCATATCTTAGCGATACCTTCTGTAATCCCCAGGTCAGTAAATAGAAATGATTGAGATCAGAAATGTCAATAATTCATTTTGGCCAAACATCTTTAGGGCTAGAACTCCAAGAGTGAAGACAAGCTGTACTTTATGAAAAGGGAAGATTTTTACCCTTAAAGCAGTCGTTCGGATGAGCTGCTTTGGATGGGGCACTGATTCTTCCATGCACATCTCCATTTTAATTTCAGATTGCATTATTTGAATATATGCAATTCTTGCTCTCTCCCTGCAGCCTTACACTGTTTGCGACTGTGTGTGAAAAGACAGTGTTGAAACGGGTGCTGAAAGAGCTCTGGAGGGTGGTAATGAATACCATGGAGAAGCTGATTGTGCTGCCTCCTCTTACAGACCATACGGTAAAGCATTTTCTCCTTCCTGACTCATAGCAGAAAGTGTTGCCATTGCCTGTGTCACTCCTCTCCCTCACCTAATGACTCATCTGTCCAGGTAAATTTGTCTACATGTAGCCTGCTTGGGGATGGGAAAATATGGCTGTAACCTAGTAAAGTAAGAGAGCAGCTCTGTTTATAGTAGGGTTACAAGATACAGAGCCCACACTAGATAAAAAAAAATCAAAATCCATGATCCAAAAAGAGTTGCTATCAAGCGTATCAAATTGCAGTGATTAGGGATTTGCAGTCCTTTAAAGAAAGCTGTGTATTTGGGATTATTGGGCAATTAGTGTTGTCTTCATGGCATTACGTCAGCACCTTTGCCTAGTGGTTGTCATCTGTTAGTCAGGTATCTCTCTGTATGGATGTGGTTAGTTTGGGCTTGCTTTTTAATGACACCACCCCCCGGTTTTACACCCCAGAAGGCTTTAACCTCAGTATGAGCTGGCATGATTTCTGTGTCTCTGATGCTGGGGAGCTGGAAGCATGTCCAGAATGTTTGCCTTCAGAGGCAGTCTTTTATATAAATGCTCAGCTGTGTGAACACGCTGGATGAATGTGTGTCGTGAATGTACTGATGTTTTTAACAATGGAAGATGAACCTCTTCCCCAATTTTGAGAAACCATGGAAACTGATTAAATGTCAGTCATGCATGCCCAGCTGCTCTGGGGGATGACACTCAGTTGAATGCAGTGTGAAGTTTGGGCTATAACCTCATTATTTGGAGATGATCCAGAACTTCTTTTAATCTCTGTGTTGGAGTGAACATGCGGTCTATGGCTAATTTATGATGGTTTATTTTTTTCCCAGTAGTGGTTTTCACTATTCAGCAGTTGCCTATGTATTTTGAGTGGACTTCTTGGGTCGCAGCATCTAGAGAAGAGATGCAAACCCACATCTTGCCCTAGGTGTTTCTTGCTCTGAGAGGGAAAGCCTTTGCCTCTGGCCTTGGTGATGACAACTTTAAACAAAACTGCTGAGATCCACTGCGCTGTCATACCTACTAAGCATAAAATTAGCATGAGGTGTAAATTTGCTAAAGATTGCTTGCTCTGAGCTCAGATTTGGAGTAATCACTTCTGCTTGCTTTTTTAATTTATAAAGGAGAAGAAACTAATCTAAATTTAAGAGGATGAAATTTCTTTTCCTCTGTTGAGTTGCTTTGAAAAGGAGTCTTTGGGGACAGGTACTAAAATCATCATTTAGGAGCAGCATTAACATGACCCCTTCAGAATGGAATCAGTGAGATCAAGGGCCTCGGAGAGAACCAGGGAGGAGCTGCTTGAGCTTTATGCTTGCTAGTTTTGGATTTTAAAGGTGGAGTAGGAGAGTGATTCAGTGCTTGTGTCATGAAGAAGGCAATAACTATGATCAGCCAATTCTTCCAACCTGCAGAATGGTGCTATGAGCCACTTCAACGTTTTCTTGACAAAGAGTTTCTTGTTGCCATCACTTCCATTTCAAATTGAGAAGTTCTTTTTCTGTAATGAAGAGCATCCTCAGTTGTCTGAGATAATGCAAAATGCTCATAGCTGGATTTTTAGCTGTCTAATCAATTGCATCGTGGTGAGGAGGCTGAACTAGTCCAAACTGGAAAAGAATTACCGTTTCAGACAGGCAGTTGTGAACAATGCAATGATAAAAATGGCCTTGTCTGCAGAGCAGGGAACCTGTGGTGAGGATAGATGGGCTACAAGGGCAAAGACCTGCTTCCACTGACCTCTGGGAAATAGTGATTTATTCTTCACCACCAGATTTTCATTATCCCCAGCAGTGAAGGTTGGCAGGGCAAGACAATGCAAAACTCAGGGCTGGCATTGTGGGCAGAAGCAGTACTTTGTATTTGCTATTAAACTTCTCTGCCATGCACCTATTACTTATTTTTTCTTGCCTTTTTTTTTTCCCCCCTTTGAAAGCACATCAGACTCAGAAATAACCTCAGGCACTCTAACTCACTTTCCTCCCAGCCCTCAGCGATGGAAAGCCCTAGTGCTGCCTCTCCATGTTTGAAGGGCCACTGGATAGGGATCTCCCTCCTGAAGACTCCTCTGCAGCCCTTAAGAAGTAGGGGATATTAATGGTAGAGGAGCGCCCCTTTTTTTGAGTATTTTCTCTCCTTTCTGTGAAATTGTCAAAGGTGCAAAGACATTTTTTTGATGGTCGTCATGGAAAGCATACTCAGGTAGGAGGTTCCCAACACGCTGCAATGTGTCTCACTTGTCGCTTGCATGACCCTGTCACTGCACAGCGCTGTAATGCCCATTACTCTCCAGACCAATCTATTCCACTTAACTTAGTTCAGCCTGTATGACACAGGGAAAATCTGGGCTCTGCTCTTCCATTCTCTGCAGCTTCTGGAAGATTTTGTGAGGGTCGAGCTCAGGTGAGGAAGCAGGCAGCTGCTGCAGGTGAAGGATGGGGCAGGGGCAGTTTTACAGCCTCCCACTCTGACAGCCTGAGCTGCCGGTGTCTTAATGACTTTCAGACGACTGACTCCTGCCTCTCCAAGTGCTGACTCCCCGTAGGTTGTGGGATTAGTAGCAACGTGATCTCCAGTAACTCACCGAGCAGTTCGCACCTCATTAGTTGTAAGTAAAGATCAACATTTAATTAAACGCTCTCAGTCTTGGGTGAGTGGATAGGCAAACACAGCTCTCTGGGAATCCTTATTTTGGGGTTCAGTGCACAGTGCTTGGGGATATTAGTGGATTAGTTACACATTTCTTTCTCCCTCGCTGCTTAGGATGGAACTATAGCATGCCATCAGTGAGTAGTCAGGTCAATGAAGAGTTGCTCAGTTTACACACAGATGATTCCTCTGGAGCCTGCTTTATTTATTTCACACAGTACGGTACAGCCATTCACGTGAGGCTCCGTTTGCTCTTGCTCCTGCTTTGCTTTTTTCTGCTCATCAGACTTCACTAAATGAGAATGTGGTCCAGGTTAGAAACAACATTTTCCTTCAGCTGCAGTCAGATTTTATACGTGACTTCCAAACTGGCCGTTCTTCAGGCTCGTCTGCAAGCAGCACCGCTCCAGAGCTACTCTGTGGTGGAGGAGAGCGTGGCTTTGAGAGGTTTTCTGGGTTTTTTAAAATGAATAGTCTCCCTTGTGCTAGCTAGGAGCTAAGAAGTCCAAGGCTCCCTCTGTGTTGAGGAGAAATAGCTTTCTTAGCCTTGAATGAAATGATCTGTGAACTTCACATGTGCCTGGATCTCTGTACCAACAAGTGATTATTTTCCCTTTTTCATTCCCACTTTTAAGCCTATTTTCTCAATGCTTGATACACCACAACAGTCAAAAAATAGCCTTAATTTTTAATGGGTGGCAGTGAACATTGCCTGATGATAGAATTTTTTTAATGATTTTAAATGCTGCTCATAAATGACCAGATCTCATTGTTGTTGAATATAGGAATTAAAAAAAAAATCTAGGAAAGGAATGCATGATACGAGATCAAACTTCCTTGCACTGATATGTCTCAGAAAAATAAGCCCAAAAAAGGACAGGAACTCAAGGCTTGCAGTAGGCTTTTGTTTCCTAGCTTTGTCAGCTGAGCAGTAGGACAGTTGAGCTGTGAGAGTTTGAGCCTCTTGGAACATAAATCAGTGCAGTTGTGTTGGTTCCTAGCAATTAGACTTGAGTGAGCTGATGGTCCTTCTCTGAATGCTTTCACTGAGGGGGGAAATACCAGACTATTAACAAGGAATTTAAAATCTTTGTGTTGTGGGCTATAGGTGTCTTTCATGTTTCCAAAAAGTTTAGGAAGGTAAAACTAGTTTAATGGGAAAAACCAGGAAAACCAGCGCTAAGGTCTGTCCCCTTTCCAGCTACATTTGCTACAGGGCTAGACAGAAACAGTTCATAACAAGGACTTAATTGTTCCTCAGCTTACATCCTTGATGTTTTAATCAAGTCCATTGTGGTCAGCTTTTCTCAAAACTACTTGATATTTCAGTTTAGTTGTTTTAATTCCCTAGAGGCACACCTGGAATAAGTGTTGTCTGTAGAGCTTTGTGATATGTTTTTCATGAAAAAAATAACTTTTTTGAGGAGGCATAGCATCTTGTTTACAAGAATGCCATTTGGCAGAGGAAGGAGCTGTCCAGATTTTCATTAGATGTTACCAGCACTGATGACGAACTCAGTGTAACAGTAAAATAACTTCTTGCAGACGCATTGACAGAGATTGGTGCTGGTTGATGAGGATTTCCTTAGCAGGCAAGAGCCAAGGAGCAGTTATCTGAGCGGCTTTGTTCCTTGAAGCGTATCAAGTCACTGGGTATTGCTTAGTGTTACCGACCTGCCCTCCTTAGAAGCCTGCAGCAGGGACACTACGTGCCTAGGCTAGTTAATGAAACTGTTCAGATTTATTTATTTTTTTTAAAAAGTATCCAGTGAAGGTTGAAAATGTCGCATCAAGAAATCTTAATGTTTGCGGGTTTTGAGCCTACTCACTTCTTCAAAATTTAGGTTATAAAAATGTTACTTTTTTTCTGCTTGGTCAACAGGCATGAAAACTTTAGGACCCATAAGTGAAACAAACTTCGTGACCTATCATGCAGAACAGCAGGCACATCTGTTAGGTACCAGAGCGCTGGCTGAAGCCATGTCCCTTGCTGCATTATTTGGTGCGGCCCACAGTGAAATCTCTGTGTTGCTTGTGGTGTGCAGTCATGTTCAACCTCACTCACTGGAAGTACAGAGGATTTTGTGCTCTTTCATTCTAGAGAGCTGTACGATAACACTGCACGTTAGATGCTGGCAGCAAGTGAAGCTCCCAGTCTCATTTCATAAGCTTTCCTTTATGGATGCATTGTCCTTGCCTGCACTTTCCCCTCCCAGGAGTTGTGAATTTATTCAATTATCATGAGCTTCTCTTTGGCTACTAAGTCAATAATATTCATTCTGTATTGATTTGTATTCAACAAACATAAAAGGCTGAAGAACAGTGAGGGTTAGGCAATGGGTATGGATAGAGCAAATCAAGAGGTTGTCAGTGATTTCAGGTCACAGAGTCTTTCCAGAGCTGGCAAAACTAAAGAAAGTACTTCATCTAAAAATTAACTTATGGACTGCTGTTGTAATGGACAGAGAGCGTCCAGTGTCCCTAGAGCAGGTCTCAGTCTTTCCAGTGTTTCAGCTGTAAACTGTTTGCTTGCTTTCCTTCTGTGAAAGGGTACGTGCTACCTCTAGCAACCAGTATATAGACACTTTTTTTAGTGAGGGGAATCCATCAGTGGGGCTTTTGTTAGCTTTAATCCTAGAAAAAAAATTATTTCAGCAATTATCCTTGCAGTACAACCCAGTTCCCAGAGTCTCCTCTGCAAATGCATGTATGGGGCAGTTCCTGCTCCACAGAATATTGACTTAAAAGGCAATAAATAAAAAAATACTAAAGAAGGCAGCAAAGAACACAATTTGAGTGCCATAGGCAGGGGCAAAGGGCAATATAATAGTTCTGGGTTTACATCTTGCTTTATTACAGTTCAAGGGGTTTTGGCATGAGGAGTGGTCATGGCAGCTGTGGTTAAGTGAGAGGGTGAAAGACTGTTGAGATGAAAAAAGGTACTAAAGGAGAAGGAAGCAGGGCTATGGAAAGGAGAATTGGATTTACTGGAGACCTCTGGGGAAATAGGCTCCTCATGGAGCCAGCAATCCCCAAATAAGCTCCCAAATGCTTTCCAGAGCAAAAAGACCCTACTGGAAAGTGCCACCCACCAGCATCTGTCCCTGGAAACTTATTTCAGGTATTCAGCTGGGACATGACCCAGGCACTTCTCAACTGATACCTGTGGTGACATTTACACTTACTTTTAACACCAGCCCCTAATGACCAGTTACAAGCAAGGAGACACAAAGACCATTTTGTGAGTGCGGTGTTCCTAGCAGACCAAAGGCTTTCCTGAGAGAGAGAACAGAGGGGAGGTTTAATTAGGGAAGGGGGGTCACCTGCAGCTTTGTCTTCATCCTAAAGCCCAAATCTGACTTTCCTGAGAGGGCTGAAGTGAGGGCAAAGTTTCATGATATGATAGATGCGCAGTTCATAGGCTGGGGGTTTATTTCAAGTGGAATAATAAACAGTTGTGACTTTTTTAGATTAAAAAAAAACAAGATTAGATGTATTAAAAGGAGTGAAGTGGAAGAAAAATAGTTCCAGTACACCCCATAAAGCATCTCCTGGAGAAGAGACTGGAGAATTGTCTTGGTTGCTTTTGGCTTTCTCATTAAATTTTGGAGTTAACTCCCCAGGCAAAAGGAATATTACACAACAGACGCATGCTGTGTTGGGGAAAAGGAATAATATCTTTGTGTAACCGTTGCAGAGAAAGTATGTAAAAATCCATTACACTAGAGCCTAAGTGACTTGAAGCAAGATTCCTCATCATAGGAATTGATCTTTCCTTTTTGTTTCTTCATTGGAGATGCAGCATTAGTAAGCCACAGTGGGGGAAGAAGAGCCATTGGCAAAGCTTTTGACATGTAAAGGCGATGCTGTAGTATTTACTGGACATTGTTTGCCGATCTCTCACCCAAAAACTGCTCAGATACAGTTTTGTTTCTGATCTGATGTATGCTTACCCCTACCCTGCTGATCGGACTGTACTTATGTAGAGAGATTGCCATCAGTTGTGTGATCGTTTGCTTTGGCAAATCTTATGCTGTCTTCATGTGTAATTAGACCTGAAATCTAGAGGAGCACTTGGAGATGAAGTCAGTGCACTGCCTTCACCCTTGCCGATTTGAAGGCGCACCCTATTTAAATGGGTGGCTGCTGTGGGCAAGAGTGAACCAGTTAGTAAGTTAGTTACTGTCCTCCAAAATAGCTCTTGATGGTGGTATCCACAGAAATGCCAGGTTTTATACTAGGTAATAAACTGGCAAGGGGTCTGGATGTTTTGACTGGCTGTGGGGTGGTTATGTAGAGCTTTAACTGTGAACTGACTTGACTTGCTCAAAGGAAAAATATGCAAAGGTTGTTTATAATCTCTTTTTTCCCCCTCCTTTCTTCTCTAACTTCTTGCAATCATAGGGCACACAGTTGATTTTCAGTGCTGCTAAGGAACTGGGACACTTGTCAAAGTTGAAGGTATTGTTCTGCATGGCTTGTGTTGATGTGCATGTGTGTAAGCATGGAAGTGTAGCATAGTCTTATGCTTCCAGTGGTTTGTCATTGAGTGCAATTGTAGAGAATGCTTTTAAATGCATTGAATGTGCTTTAAAATGCATTCTGCTAATATTAGTACTGTGTTTAACTGTTAAATTTTATTGTGGGTTTAATCATCAGAGTAGTTTCTTCTGTAGATACTGTGATCAGTTTGGTATATCAATTTAAAATGAAAAAAGTAGAGTTCTTAGCATCTGCCCAGCTCCTCTGTATCTCCGTGTATAAAAGGGAGTCCCTTATGAGATCCTGATAATGAGATCTCAGTTGGAAAGATGATTGTGCTAGCTATTGATGAATTATATGAACTGTTACAAAAATAACCGTTGCTTATGGGAGAGAGCCTGTGTCTGTAAATTCCTTCTGCGTGGGCTCTTTTTTCAGGCAAGCTGGCATTTAGCATGAAGGCTATGTTGATGTGTTTTGACAGTGTGTGACGTGACAGTGCATGACATGAGCGTTACTAAGTGCACGCCACCTCATCATAAGCCGATCAAGCATTAATTCACTGGTCACGACAGGAGTGGTATGAAAATAGTGATGCTGTACAACATTCAAATTGCACTGTGCTGTGGTTTGACCTGTGCTACAAAACGGGTATTGTGCAAGAGGACTAAATCTGAAGCGTCACAGCACAGACTGCTGCAAGGAATACAGAGCTGAATGTGAATTCTGTCTTCCCACAGCAAAGGGCATTCTCCTAAGTAATTAGTGCAATTTCAAAATGAATTTGTCTTTTCCCATGCTTTTTTTTGTCTTTTGCACTTATTGCAGCTGTCTTTATACAACTATCTATTTCCTTTGCCCAGCAGACACATTTTACATACACATCTTTTTGAGCCAGGAGAGTACGCAATTCATTTAAGGCAGTGCTTATTAGCAATATGAGTAAGTGATCTGGATGTACGGGTGTGTCATTACGTGCACATGCTGCTTTTCGAGGCTGTTATGCAGCAGTTAACAGTGAGATAACACAACCCTTCAAGCATGGCTCCCCAGAGGAGCAGCTGTCACTTGTGCTGACGGACAGCCCCATGCACTCCCACAGCCAGGCTGTCCTCCCTGGAGATGTGGTGGCTCCCGAGGATTGCGCTGCATCCACTGCTTCCTGCACTTACAGTGCTCTCTGTTGCTTTCATGGCAGAAAGGGGTAGAGGGGAGCTTTGTGGCCAGCCTGGGAGAGTGGGAGCTGGACCACAGCCTCCACATCTGACTCCCTTTTCCTGTGAGTATTCCCTTCCCCTTTCAAAAACATCAGCAAGAACCCAGCATTTAGAGGAAGAGAAGCCATCTTTGCCTTCTGTGTGCACTCCTGGTGTCAAAGGGTGAGAACTCTGAATTTGCTTCAGTTCTTTTCCCAGGTCACAGGGACAAGTTTGTGCACAGGCGACAGGCAGTTCCTTGTGGTTTCCTCACATAGGGCATAGCCAATGACATTCACTGTTCTCTTTTTCTTCTTCTGTATCTCCCCATGACTGGAATTTCTTAATATATACAAAGCGCCTTTTGCCAGGAATGAGCTGGAAGCTTTGCTGGTTTCCATTCCCATTGGTCAGACGAAGGCCATCTCTCAGCCTGTCTTCAGCTCAGTTACTGTAAAGCTCAACTTTGGTGAATCTTGATTGCATTTTTAGAAATGCATGTAATCATGCAAATCAGGCAAGGCCTGGTGTGTTCAAGCCTTTATTTGCATATCTACATATAGGACTACAGCAGCACACGTACACAGGATTTTGCGTGTGGCAAGAATGCTGTACACAAGTGTGAAATCACCCTACCACCTGAATTCTGGAGACCCTTCTTTCAGACAGAGGTTGTGAACCAACATTGCATCTAGATTTTTCACGAAGAGTAAAAAGGTGTTGGATGAGTGGAAATTGTTTGGGTCTGTGTAAGCATCGTGGATATTGGGGGGTTTTGTCCTTTTGTTTTTGCAAGCACATACAAGCTAACAGGGAAGGCATGAGTAAATGGCTCTTCAGACCTCCTCTTCTGTGCATTTTCCAGTTCCACTAAAAGCCTAGGGAAATTATGGGATGGATTTTAAGCTTTCTTTGTCTTAAATAGAACAGGAGGAACAGAGCCCTAGTGAATCAGATAACTCAGCTGAAAACTGAGACTGACAGACCTGACAAGCACAGGCTCTCGTCCTGATGACAAATCAATTTCAGTGTATTTTAAAATGCTCAGAAAGCCAGCCATAAACTTGGCACCTTGGTGCCACATATCTTTCTCCCATTTATTATCAAACTCTTTCTGCTCAGTTTGCCTAATAGCAAGCAGCTGGAGCAGGCAGCAGAAGCCTCCTCTCCCTTACGCTGCCCCCAGGGTGATCAGCCAAGCCCTGACTGCAGGGTCTCTTCTGAGAGTACCTGTGGAGAACACATCTGAGAGACCTGGAAAATGTATTTTTTTTCTTTATTACTTCTTTTGCTTGTAGTTGCATAATTATTTGGTGTAAATTTGTGGCTTTCTCCTGGCTGGCAATCTGGGAAGTGCAGGGCAGCACTCTGTGCAATCCTTTATAGGAACAGTGTGGGATTTGCAGAGGGCAGGTACACTGGGGAATGACAGCCGTGGGCTCCTCTGTGTGTAGGTGTGAGCATTACCAGTCCAGTCACTGGGTTATTTTTACATAATGTGTTGAAGTAAACGACACTAGTGCTGTGCAATGGCAGCATGGGCACTGGCTGGGTGACCTCTCAGAGCGGCGTAAATGAGCTCTTTAGGTGTTTAAGAGAAAAATGCCAACCACCTGGTTCCTGTTGCAGCACGGGGAATCTGGCAGGCAGACCTAGACAGTAATTACCGCAGACATGAAAGTCGCTCTGCCTTGGGGACACAGCTACCCTGACTAAATTGGCCTCTCCCATCAACGTGGCCTTGGGCTCTGGCTGATTGTGCACTTAATCTGACTGTCAGACAAGGAAAGAATGCTTTGCCTTCTGTGTGCTGAAGTGTGAAGCCACATCATCTTCAATTGAATTACTCCCAGCTCATGAAGAAGAGGGAGGAGACCTATTGCTCCCCTAAGGACAGCTTGTCACAGCAGAAGATGTGTAGCATCTTACAGAGTACTGTGCCACTGCATGTAGCTGCCCAGACCAGGAGCAGCCTGTGTGGGGGAAAGAGGCAAGCTGAGGCATGAAAGCGCCTTGTGTGAGTTGCTGCTGACTTGAGAGGCCTCTTCTGCACAGTTTAGCGCAGCACTTAGCAAAGGTGCTAGCTAGATATCTGCGAGAAGCGTGGCAAATGCCTCGCGCTGTGCCTAGACTGCGGTGAGCCCTGATTCCATCAGGCAGGAGATGGGTAATGGTGGATAATGAGTGGGAACAGCAGCAGGCGATGTGAAGAATCACCAGGCTGCAAGACAGCCAGCGGGTTTGTCAGCGTGAAATGCGCAGATGATGCCACACAGTAGGCACACTTTACTCAAAGACAGTTTGATAGACGTGTCTCCTGGAAAAGTGTCCTTACCAGAGACTGTTACATGTTTAAAGTAGGGATAAGTAGCCTTTGCCTGATTTGCCTGCATCTTTTCCATGAATGCATCAGCACCCAGGCTGCAGTGAGCTGGCTTGACCCAGCAGCTCAAACAATTGGAATTTGTGTTTGTGCAAAGTTTTGACTTACTAAAATGTGCCATTTTCCTCTGAGACCTAGACTAAGCATCAGAGAGAAGAAGATCAGTAAAATACCAAAGGATGGCACATCCTTGTAGTCAGGCAGGAGTCTAACAGGGATATGCTTCCACTGCAGGAAAGGGAATCCCTTCCCAAGGGATTCCTATCTCTTTGCTATTAGAGATGCTTGGTCTTAATGGGAACAACTTCTTTTAGCAAAGGTGTTTTCTAGAACATGTTGCTTGTTTCCCTGATTTTCTTCCTCTGCAGTGACCATGTTATGAATTAGTGACCTTTGTAGATGGAAGAATTAAAAAAAATCCACAAATAACATCTGACAACTTTGCCCAACCTGTGGTTCTCAGAATTCCTTCATTTAGGTGGTGCTTTGAGAGTTTTGTTGTGGCTGCTCTAGAATGATGGGTAGCAAGTAGACTCCTGTTTGGGTTTTTCTGAGAGACAAACTGTGATTTTAAATTGCCACTTATCTCTGTCCAATTCCTTCCCTTATTTCTCTCTTTTGTGCCTGCAAGAAACAGAGAAAGTGGGCTTACTTTCAAGTTAGGCTGTAATAAATGACTCTTACAGACTCTATTAATTGTTCCTTAAACAGCTGAATTAATGCTATGGCCATGTAGTCACAGCATGAATCCAGAGGAAGTGATGATAGTGGGGACTCCTTGTCCTTTAGTCTCTGACAGCAGGCTCATGTCAAATATAATCGTTGTTTGCAGGATCATATGGTGAGAGAAGAAACCAGGAGTCTGACTCCAAAGCAATGTGCTGTTTTGGATCTGGCACTGGACACAATCAAAGTAAGCAATTCCATTTCTGTCTCTGTCGTTCTCTTTCTCCATCCCCAAATACTGTTTGGGAGGATGGTGCCATGCTTGTGTAAACCTGAATAGGCTCAGGTGACCCCCATGTGCTGGGAGCCAGTGTATTTATATTTAAGTGCTTTGGAAGAGGAAAGCCATCAGCAGTTGGTATCACAGAATGGTTTGGGTTGGAAGGGACCTTGAAGCTCATCCAGTCCAACCTCTGCCATGGGCAGGGACACCTCCCACCAGACCAGGTTGACCAAAGCCCTGTCCAACCTGGCCTTGAACACTGCCAGAGAGGGGGCATCCACAACTTCCCTGGGCAACCTGTGCCAGTGTCTCAGCACCCTCACAGTGAAGAATCTTTTCCTAATATCCAGTCTAAAGCTCCCCCCTTCCAGTTCAAGTTCCACAAGCCATTCCCCTTTGTCCTATTCCTACCTGCCCTTCTAAAAAGTCCCTCCTCAGCTTTCCTATAGGCTCCCTTCAAGTACTGGAAGGCTGCAATAAGGTCCCCCCGAAGCCAACTCTCTCAGTCAGTCTAAGAGCTGGATTTCCAGTACAGAAGCTGTTTTGTGAATTTTTCCAGCTCTCTCTCCCATCCACACATACAATAGTACTTAGATGTTGGCTGCTGGTTGCACTTGTTCCTCAGTATTTTTCCTGTCTCTTTTTACTCATAGCAATATTTCCATGCTGGTGGGAACGGCCTGAAGAAAACTTTCTTGGAGAAGAGTCCAGACCTGCAGTCACTTCGATACGCGCTCTCTCTCTACACTCAGACCACAGACACTCTCATCAAAACCTTTGTCCAGACTCAGACAGCTCAGGGTAAGACTCTTTTGTGCTGTTGGCAAAGTTGAATGGAGCTATCTGCTCTGTTCGTAATTGCTCTGCCTTGTAATGCTGGTTTGTAGAGTGCTTTTGGCAGTAACGTTTCTGGAAACGTGACAGTTCAGAGCTTTTGGAACTGGGAAGGAGGGAAAGGGGTTTATTTCCCACTCAACAACTACATTTTGAGAGAGCATAAATATGTGAAACATAAGGCCTGGGGTGTTTGTGGTCTTTTTTTCTGCAATCCTCACTTAACAGTCACGTTTCTTGAATTAATGTGGGTGGGTGATTTAAGTGAAATTTGCAGTTACTGTACTGAGGCTTACATGGTGGTGTGAGAGGGCGTTTCAGCAAGGTACCACCACAGAAACTAGTCGATGTCTGTGTCACAGGCCAGCTGCCAGCAGCCCTTGTAGTCCTGACGAAGGCTAATTGGCAGCAGTGTGGTGAGTCACAGAGCTACGACTGCCTGTAAAGGGGAAAGCCTCTCAGGAGAGCAGCACAAGCGTTGTTTTGTCTGCAGCCAGTACAGGATATGTGCGAGCTACGCAATTACAAGTCACCACAACGTATTAGTAAGCTGTTGGGATGGGTCACTGGAGTTCTTTGGTAGATCCCTGGGAAGGCACGACAGTGGTGCTGTTTCATTGACTTGGAAGGGGTAAACAGTTAATTATCTCTATCTTTCATTGCTTTCATGTAAACATCTCCAGATTATTGTACAGAATAATTTGGTCTCTAGTCGGGGACCTTCATTGACTGACTGTGAATCTCAGTAGTCTCAGGAAGAGGGGACAGATGCTGTTAGAGGTTAGGTCAAAACTGAAACTCATGTTTTAAGTTTTCAGGCTGTTCAGATACAGACCTTGGCATTGGGCTACTACATCTTAGCAGCGAAAGTCATACAACTCCAAGGAGTGTCTTTCTGCCATCTTTTTGCTTGGGGTCCTTTTTCCTTTAATCTTTCCAAGCCTATGAGAGCTGGTGACCCCTCAGACTGTACTAACTCTGTCAGCATACTGTCACACCAAGCCCTGAAGTCAGGGGGAAAGCACTCCCTAGCCAGCACACTTATCCCTCATGTGCAAATGAGACTGCTTGATACTGGCATTCACGAAAAAATTGAAGAAGTACTGAGAGCTCTTGAGCAGAACGAGGTTTGGTTTTGAAGTTTTAAAGTGAAAAGTTGAGTGTCGTTTTGAGAGGCTGAATTATCCATGCCTTTTGCAGCATGATATACTCTTGATTAGATTGAAGTATATTGCATTAAAGCACTGACGTTGACTAAGGAGTCAGTACCTGCATTTGAGAGAATAGTCCCAGCAGAGCAACGATGACATCCAGTGGCTGCACAGGTCAAAGACTGCTGCATCCACAAGGGATGCCAGGAACTTAGGCTGTTGCCATTACAGTTACACAAAGCACTTTTCAACTAGGAACTTGTGTGCACAGCATTCTCAGTCTTTGCTGCTGCAGATGTTTCCCATTATATGTCCAGAGCATGAATTGAAGCTAGTTTTTTATGTGGATCCTATTATGTTGTCAAGATGAGCCAAGATATAAGGATGTGTGCAGCACTGCTGTTCTACACTCCATGCTATAGTCAGGAGTCTTTAAAATTAGAGGAAGATGCTCTGTTGAAGTAGCAAAGTGGCAAATTCAAAGCTGATATGAGGAAGCAGCTTCATGCAATGCATGATTTGACTATAAAACTCCACATAGGGCAAGTGTTTAGCAGACGCACAAAGAGAATTGAACATTATTTGAGAGCGTCAAGAATATACAGAGTTACCACAGAAGTGTGTGTGTGTTGAGGATTTTTTTTTAAGAAGCTCATAAAGAATTAAGCTCCATTTTTAGGACACTAGATACAATCATTACGAAATCATTTAATATATCCCGTAGCTGGCTGATGACATTTCTTTGTAGCTTGTCTGAGCCACTTTAGGAGACAGGTACTGAACTGGTCCACTTCAGCATCTTCTACATTAGTAGGCTTGAGAGTTTTGGACCTTGTTTGGGGAAAAAAAGACTGCAGCTACGCCACCTACGTCTGTAGGATCAGTGATGGAGTATCTCTGAGAAAGGCATGACTTGCTCCTGAGATTTGGGCTAGAAAAAGGTATTACTTGCATACACTGCTCAGTAGCCTCTGTTGGTGGGTTGGTTTGGAGATCTGCGTGTGCGTTGGAGGGACAGCAGGCACAGCACTAAGTATTTACAGCTGGCATCTGCTTACCAGAGCACTCCGACTGCTGTTTCCCTTTGCGTAAGTCAAGCTTCCTACAAGCCTATGGGAGGAAATGGCTGCATGCAGAACTATTCAAATGCTGTTTCCCTCTCTTCACTGCTCAATGGTTGTATCTTCCAGTTTGTGAGGTACCTGTTGCCCTCATTTTCTTACTGAGCAGGCTGCTGTGGCACCACACTGTTCAATGTCCGCTCTGCAAAGTTGGATCAGGGCTTGCAGCTTAGTTACACCAGCACTAATTCTGATTTTGTTTTTAACCCAGACAATCCCTTACTTGCAGACAACCTTGCTCTTCAAAGCCTGTGTTGATGCAGAAGATTTAAGAGGATATTTTGTCTATTAAGAGCTAGGGTATTTGTTTTGTATTTAAGTGACACCGCTAATTGGATTGTAATTCACACCCTTCTCTCTTTATCCTGCTTGCTTCTTGCCTTTTGAATTCATGTCTCAGTGCATGATGGGAAAGGTATTAGGTTTACCGCTAATGAGGACGTTCTTCCTGATAAGGGTATGTTCAAGACTAATGTTGTTACCATAACAACATTAGCCAACTGCCTTGCTTTTGAAGCCATCTTGCCCATGCTCAGAAACCTTTTCCAGAGAGCCATTCCCTGTAGCTCCCTGTAGAAGTGATCTTTCACCGAATGCTTGCATCCCACAGATGGAGCCATGGGTTGCACGGTGTAGAAGTCTGTACCCTGCCTGAGAGCCTGTCCCCAGGCTTGAGATTTATTCATGGGATGTGAAAGCTGTCTCAGAAATGAGCTGTCTTTTGAGAGATGCTGTGGACTTGTTCCCCTACCCTTTACTATGGGCTGTATTGCTGTTTCAAGTCCTAGAATTGCATGTGTATGGTCTGCTGAGATGGGCTGCTGTAATACATGGTAATATCTGATGTGCACTCAAGGTTATGGCCGAGCTTGAAACATCTGGCTTGGAAAAAAACCTAAAAATCTGGGTGCTTGGAAGAGCTCTAAGAAATTAAGACTTGTGTTCCATCTCTCAAGTTATTTTCTGTTGACCGAAGTCTTTTTTTTATCTTGGGTGAAATACATCTGTAATGTGTTGCACGAGCTCAGTTCTGCAGTTTCACCTTCCAGTATCGCAATACTGATGAGACTTTCATGTCCAGATTTGAATCTGCTTGTCACTGAATGTGCAAACTTGTGTATGCACACAGTTGTATGTAGTCAGAATATTTTTCACTGGCCACCTACAAAGTGTTTTTTTCGTTTCTGAACATTTCAGTTAATAGAACAAGATTTTTGTATGAAAAGAAAATATCTAAATTTTGTCTCCCTCAAAGGTAATGGGTTGATTTTGCTGTCATTCCTCTGAAGCATCAGTGTCTCCTTCATAACCTATTAATTACACTAAACATTAGTAAAATGAAGACCCGAGTGTTTGGCAGCTGGTGTTTCTGCAGATGTGGCCTGATAAAGTTATTAGTCTTGTCTGTTCCCATGGAAAATGCTGACAGCATAAGTGGCAGACCTGCACCATTAGATGTGTCAGGTCAATAATTAAGCCTAACAATTTCAAAGCTCTTTGTTTATATCCAGGAAAGAAGAAACACTGCCCTTCTAACCTGGGAGAAAACAGTACATTCAAGATCATGTACAGACGTTACAGCCTTGAGGCTGTTTATTTTACTCAGGTCACAAATGAGAATCTACCCTAAGTTGATAATTTGAGGTTCTGTTATGTTTGCTCAGATACTTTTACTTGTATATTAATGTGACTTTCCCTGCCTACAGTTCTGCTGTGCCATGTAATTCTCTTCAGAGAATTGCACAGATTAGCTCTCAACCTCTTGGTTTTTAAATGTGTTTTTGCTGCCTGCAGACTGTTCTTGTGAAAGTTGACATGTCAGATCTATCTAATCAAAATGTTTGTTTAATTATATCCTTCAAGCTCCTTATCTTGAATTTTAAACACACCAATTCTTTCACTTAATAATGTGTCTTAGCCTCAAAATTGACAAAATAACACTGCCGTTCATAGGTACTCAATTACCCTGTAGGTGTCCCAATTACAACAGTATTGCTAATTGTCAACCTGCGATCAGCTATCAAAGACAAAGTGAAATCAATCTCACTATCTTATCAAAGACTTATTTTTCATTTTGCAGAGCAGACTTTTTCTGTCATTTACATGACATCTTGACTTTCCTACCTAGGAAAATGTCATTTCCACATATTGCATGATAATTATGATTAAAAAAGTTGAAAACATCATAATACACGAATTGTAAGGTTTATGACATGTTCTCCCTCTGTTATAACATATTCTCTTTTCCTCTCTGAAGCTACATCTTGTTTTCTCCCTGGCTAATTGATGAAGGGAAATAAGTATGCAAGTTGTAAGTCCTTCTTTCTCATAATTTTTGGTGCACAACAGTGAAGGAATTCTCATTATTCTCCAGAGGGAAGCAGATAGAAGTCAGGATGACAACTTTTATCTGATGTACAACATGGAATAAACTTATTGGAGGGTGAGACTGCACCATGGCTCAGTGCAAATCACTAACATGCGTGTCTTTTTTTCCCCCGGACATCCTTTCTGGTGTGGTTTTTTGTTCTGTG